TTTTTTCCCCGAATAACTCGGACTTTCCCCCAGGGAGATGCTCAACTGGGACCGAAAATGATGACTTAATATACGAAAATCACGAAAACTGATGGATTCCTCTGGGGTGTTTTTTACTTGGAACGAGCGCAGTGTCGTCCTTGTTTTACTTGCTATCCTGACCCTTGGTCCTGTCCTCTTGCGACAATTTCACGCTTTTCGCTCGCCGCTGACAAGCTGACAGCTGCCACTTGAGCGATGGCGTTTATTAGTTATTAAACGGCGTGATTTATGCCCGCGGCACGACCACGCCCCCTGCAATTGGCCTGCACTTTGGCGCCTTAATGAGACCGCCTCCCGTGGAGATGGAAATCGTTCAGAGAAACTGGACATCTGCGGTTCTGTTTGCTCTACCCATCAGTGGGGAAATTTAACACGACAAGTATACAAGTATATATAACAATTAACGAATTTTAAACAATCTGGAGTGCCACAACTTAAAATCATATCTTGTTGCCAGAGAAAATCATATTAATTTTAAGAAAGGGTTGGATTCGAAAAGCCTAGAAAGACTTAATGTTCCAAAATATTCTAACTAACTTAATTCAAAAGTTAAAGGACCTAAGTTTGTAGGTTTCTATATCCATTTTATTGTATTTTCTTATAAATGTAATGCTTTTACTAAATGCGTTTACTAAACCTGACAACATTAAGAAAGCGTAGAATTTATTATTATTATTTTTATTTCACAGAGACTTCCCAACGCCACAAGTTCAAAAAACCTATAAACTATTGCGCCAGTCGCAATATGTAAAAAAAACGAGGACGGAAGCTAACTTCGGCAAGCCGAAGTTTTAATACCCTTGCAGACTTTGCCGAAATTGCTAAAACTGAAAAAGTAGCGAAAGGAATAAGGTATACATAAATAAACTAGATTTGCGTCGTTTGATGTCAATTGCTTTTATACTGCAAAAATGTCATATAAAAATAGAAAAAAAGGGATACTTTCGCAGCCTTTAACTATTTTTCCTACGGAAGCTATAAGAAATAGACGCCCGATCGGCAAGCGCTTTTACCCTAATCAAGATATGCGTAAATAAATAAGACTTGGAAAAATGTATGTCAGTAGCTTACACACTACGCGAAAAATTCAGAAAACCAACAAATTTGGACCGATTTCACCCTGTTGTTCCTATGGGAGCTGTAGGATATAGACGTCCGATCGTCACGTGCTTTTACCCTAATCAAGGTATGCATAAAAAAATACGATTTGGAAAGATTCATGTCAATTGCTTTTACACTGCGCGAAATATCATCAATTCTTGCAAGATATATCCGATTGTTCCTATGGGAGCCATAGGATATAGACGTCCGATCGGGGCGATTTTCAAACTTGATCTGCGTACACATGTTTTAGGACGAGTGTGAAAGTTTCAGATCGCTAGCTTTTAAACTGAGCTCGCAAACGGTATTGAAACAGACGGACAGACGGACAGAAGGACAGACGGACATGGCTATATCGACTCCCCTATTGGTCCTGATCAAGAATATATATACTTTATAGGGTCGGAAACGTCTCCTTCACTGCGTTACAAACTTCTGACCAAAATTATAATACCCTCTGCAAGGGTATAATAACTTTAAAGGAGAATACAAAATTAAATATAAAATAAATAAATTTATAACTTAAGTAAAGGAAAGGTAAGAAAACAAGTCAAATTTTCTTAATAGTTAAATGTTTAGGCATGTTTGAGTTTTTGATTTGTAGGTGTGATAAGAGTTTTGACACAAATGTATACATATAGACGTTAACAGCTTTATATATTTATTTTAAATCAACCCATTTCAAGCCAGACCTTTGAAAACTGAGGAGTCACCGATAAAATTGTGTTGATACGCTTGTAAAACTGATTGATAACAATTTATTGTTTGTTTAATTGCGTGTATGCATATCGGAACTATAATTGCCAAAATGTAGAGTCGAACCACCCTCATAAAAAAACCTAACCCCTGTCCATTTGACTTCGTTCAAAATTGAGCTGCCTGCTGTGAGCTTCTATTTCTTTATACTTATTTCGTTTTCACACCCCTTGCAGGTCGTCCTATTCTTCTCCAGAAACACCCCACCATTCCCAGCCTCATCACCATCATCATCATTCGTTTGAACTCGGAATAGGAATCGGTCTCAGGTTACTTTGTTTTCCTTGGCCTCCGTTGTTTGTTTTTATTTCCATTTCACTTTTCGCTGGGTTTGTTTGTCAATTTGAAAAATGCGTTTTGCAGTTTCTTTTTTTAAATTCAATTGTGGATTGCCGCAGCGCGTTGAAAAAAAATCAAACCACCCCTCCAAGGTTTGATCCTTTTCCTCTACTTTATCTTCATCCTTCCATCCGCTTCAACTCCCCCTGCGGCTAATAACGTCCTCGTCAGTTCCGGCAGCTCGGTCCTGCCACCCCAACCATGTGAATCCGGACTCCTTCTTGTGCTTTTCGGTGGCACCAAATTATGGTTGAAATTTTAACACAAATTTGTTTGCAAGCGTTTTTAACGCAGCGAGAGGTCCCCCAACCCCAGATTTGAATCTTTTAATTTGGGTGCAGTTGCTCTTTTCCTGAATAAAATATAAATGTATCACCACTTAAAGTTGTTATTATCAGAAAATATATTATTTTAAAAATTTTAATAGAGCTTCATGAAATGTGATGTACTTTAAGGTATGTATTTCTAACAAAATCTATAAACATTTTAAACGTGCCATTTCTGGAGCCTTATTAAAAAGTTATTTTTTGCGTAAATATCAAAAATCATTCAATCAAAACATTATTAAAGAACAACAATGTATATGATAAATATTTTTTATATTAAAGATTAATGCAAGTGTGGGTTTCTGGTGGTAAATGACCAAACTTACAATCTGAACTAGAGTAAGCTAAATGAATCGAATAAAATTTAATTATTATTAATTTCAAAAAATGGATTAATAGTAGTTTACAGAAATCTGTTTGAAGTCTCAAAAACTCTTTAATTCAAAATCTTTACAGCATAGACTAAATAATCAAGTTACCTTTTAAGTCCCCAAAAAAGAGTCTCAGCCGATTCAATTATGATAGTTATCTTCTGCATTCCCAACAATGTTAAATCAATTCCTATCAAAATTAAGCCCCGAGGTGGGAACATTGGAGTTCGTGTTGTCTCTAATCCTTTGACACATAATCCCTCACGCGTTCCGGGATCTTTTCCGGGAGTACTCCTTTCTGTTTACTTTATCCGGGGAGGCGGACACTTGCGCTCCATTTGTCATTTTCATAATGGGCGCAGAGTAAGTCGGTGGGAGCGTGTCGTCGATGCCATATCTCGCGGATTACAAAACGAGACGGAGGCGCGACTTCGATGGCACGTGACCGAAGAAGAGAGCCAGACTGAGATCACTATCGGACGGAACACGGATATTTATGTTCACCTAAGACGCGGCATTATCCAGAGGGCTTCCTTCCCGAGTCAAATGACACGTAAACCAAGTCGTTAAAGGTTACCCTGTCCACGGATTTATTCCCGGGAATGTGACACTGAGCCACAAAGTTCAGCATTAAGTTTGTCATCTTCCGAATCCTTTCCATAATATAAATCATTTTTAAAAATATTTTGGGTTCAGTCCTAGGCTGTCCCATAACATGGGTTTTCCAAATTGATTATTCTATAAAATAACTAAGTATTTAAAATTAGTTATTAAGTTAATTTGATTTGAAACTGGCTTTTTAGAGTAGGATATTGTTAAATTGGAGCTCTGTTTAAAATAATAATGCAACCATTAGGAAAGCCAATCAAACAGGGCATAATCCTAATTCCTTGTCAAGTGTAATTTATGCAAAAGACCCACATGTAACCAATAAGAACTGGACTTATGTTCAGCTCAAAAGTGGCAATGACTTGGCGGTTGTCAGTTCTCATTAGAGAGCAGCCGAGCCGAATTGATTGATTTATTTTGGCAATTATGTGCATTCGATTAAAAGTTGAACTGGCAGTCACGCAGCGCTCGCTAATAATATGCAGGGATCCCACCAAGGCTCCCACTCCCGTGCTGGCAAAGAAAAAGCAACATAAATCCCCAGAAATATCCCATGGAGCTGGGGGATTACATGGCCCCGAATTGAAAACCAATTGCGCCTGGGATGAAAAATCGCGCCAACAAACCCAGCGGGCGATAAAGGAGGCGAATTAAATGGAACCGGAGCAGGACCTCCGGCAGGACGAGGATGAGGAGGAGGACGAGGAGGAGGAGGACTGGGGATGTGGCCTGTTTACAATGTCGCTCGACTTGGACAAGGGGATTTCTTTGTTTTGGTTTGGTTTTAATTTTGAGCAACGAATAAATTAAATCAACCGACAGTCGAAATAATTGCCGGAAATTGGTGACGTTGTTGAAATTTCTTCTCCGCCTTCCAATTGAGACGGGAACGGAGTTGGAGTCCGGTGCTTAATAAGATTATGCGTGACCCGGCGAGCACGGCTTCCATTAACGAGGAGGACCTTCGCCAGTCCACAAATTCGAGGCTTAAATTAAACGTATGACAGACAAGTTAAGCTTGCGTTTGGTTGGGTTCAAGGCAAATTCGGGCAGGATAAAGGTTTTACAACATTACATCAAATTAAGCATAATTTCGACAAATTTCAGGACATTGCCATATATGAATGTATGGGCTAGCCATGTATCTTATCTTGCAATCAAACTGAAATTGTTTTTCAATACATTTCCTGTATGCACCTACAATTTAAAAGTTTACGATTTTCTATATAATTCAAAATTTCCATAATAGTTTTTACTTTAAGAAAATGGCTTTAAAGGGAAAAATAACAAAAAAAGAATTAAACAAACAATTACACATTTTATAATGAAAGCTAGTATAAGTAATAGAATGAAAGCTTCCAGCTAATAATCTCAGCAGAAAAAGCTCACATTGATATCTTTAGTGGAATATTAAAACCATTTATTCGACCGATCGATCGTCAGTTGCGATCACAGCTCACTGGAAGATGTGTGTCTATTTTATACTCGGGGTATTGCCGGCCCTCTTAACGCGTAAGTGAAAATTGAGTTGGAGAAATCTATAACGAATCAGTGAGTTTATTAATTGAACTTGAGTCAGAAAATCAGTTTAAAACAATAGATAAATAATTATCGTCTATAGTATTACTCTGGTTTTCTCTCTCATAGCAACTCAGTGTAGTCATTGTGAAAATCTGCGGGAAATTCAGCTGTATAACCGGAATGATATTTAAAGCAACGCTTACATTGTCTATCATATTTCATATTTTGCATAAAGGTCAAAGAACAGCATATGCTTTCTAAGATTGAAAATTATTTAAAGCTTTGGCCAAAACACAGTATACAACTTTTCCGGTGAGCGAACTGATCTAAGATTGCACCTTCTCAAAGCAACGACTTTTTGATCAAAGCTCTCAGTTATTGCCAGTTAAATGAGAGATAGTCATTATAAATCAGTGATTTCATTAGGTTAACATGAGTGAAAACAGCGAGCAGTTACATTAGATTTGTTTGGGGTTCTTTATGATGCTAAAGGGTTTTTCCTTTTTGCAGCAATTGCTGGACTTAATTGCGGAAATCTGCGGGAAAACCAATTGTACAGCGGGAATGAGATCACCGCTCCGGATGAGTATCCCTGGATTGGACGGATTGGCTATGTGCACGAAAATGGAACCACGTTCACTTGCTTTGCGGTCCTGATTCACCAACGATATGCGATCGCCACCGCCTTCTGTGCACTATCCAATGCCGATTTCGATACCTTGTTCATTTTGTTCGGGGACTGGCGCGAAAATGAGAACTTTAAAGTGCGCGACTGTCGGCGGGAGGGAAACATCTTCCAGTGCTCCCCGCCGCCGCAAAAGGTGGAGATCGATGAGCTGGTGGTGCATCCCGAGTACAAAAACGACATACACAACAACATAGCACTGGCCAAACTGGTGCGGGATGTGGAGTTCACGGACTATGTGCAGCCCATCTGTTTGCCACCCGTGAAAGAGGCCGATGGCAACCAGATCGCCCAGAGGTTGGAGATAGCCGGATTCAGGAGACCCTTGTGGAAGGGTCAGGAGGCCGACGAGGAGGGCGAGTGGCGGAGGAAGGTGCAAGTGTTCACGGCCAGTAGGGACTTCTGCGAGTCGGTGGCCTACCCGGATTGGCAAAATATGACGACGAACCATCTGTGTGCCCTGGGAGACGAGGAAAAAACCCTTTATTTTGGATCACCACTAATGGGAATCAAAATCGTGGATGAGAAGCCGAAGAACTTCTACTTGGTCGCCCTACCAATCTCATACATGCTACTTTATTCACCGAAAAATCTAACTTTACAAGTGTTCGTCCGCATTGCTCCATACAGGGACTGGATTTTGAAAAATACTGCTTTGGTCTGACGTCATTTAATATTTCTGAGCGATGTGATATTTTTGTTTAATTAGATCTTTTATTGAATCGAAAAAATCCACCTAGCTATAATTACTTTTAAAACTCCTAAAACGTAAGCATGATATGTATTAGTTTACAAATCGTTATAAACTTTTGTTTAGTTTATAGAGTTTATTTGGTGATGGCTAAACTACAGATTTTGTAATATTTTTAGTCTAGTTACAGAAAGCATTTTGTTATTTATTTTTTTTCTTTTTTTTAAATATAAAATGAAAAGTAAAATATACAAAAATGTAATACCAAGATAAGCTTATAAAAATGTGATTCGCATCCAATGAAAATAAAACTCCAGGATAGTAGATTAATGCCAGGTGTATGACTAGCAATTAGTAATAAATCAGTTCTAGAGGAAAGAAAGATAGACAATTTCGGAAATTTATTTGCCAAGCTGCAGGCATTCGTCTTGAGAATCCAGTACGTTCGGGATAAATCAAAACTTTGTTTGCCATAAATAAAAGAATGGCTAATAATTACAGCAGCCTCCGATGGCCTCAGCATGAATCCTGCGTCCTTTGTCGACTCCCACTCCCCACACTCCACCCCCGACCCCCAAGGAAGAAATGTAAATGAGTCTCTAGCGACTAATAAATTCCCAATTACACATGGAGTTGCCCTGGCCAGGGACGGACTTCTGGTGGCCAGCACACAAGGTCCACTCATAAAACTATGCCGGCACACCCTCCACCACCTCGCACCAGCAATAAACTAAAAAGCATAAATTTCTGAAAACGACAAATTCATGCACTTGGCGAATTCGGGCGGAGGGAGAAAACGGGAAAAGGAACGGGAAAATCAAATGGAAAACACGGAAAATCACAATTACGTGAGCACATACGGCGAGGTGAGGGGTGAAGTCAGGAGGAGGACCGATGTCCAATTACGGGTGACGACGATGACGCCGGCAAATGCCAACATCTGTGACCCCGTGAAAGATGGAGATGCGTGAATGCCCTCCGGCAATCGCATTTGTTCCGATTGCCCCGTCTAATGCAGAAGATTGATACCCCCGATATCGGAATGACCGTGAGGGTATGCTGCTGATGTCATTACCTAAATATGATGAATTCAAAAGGACCTGATAAAGTCCGTATCGCTAGCGATCTGCCTTCAAACATATGGAAAAATCATCAAAAGATTGAAAATGCATTTGGCTGAATAAGAAAGCATTTTGATCATAGGAATATTTCACCAAATTAAAACATAAAAGGTATGGAACATTTTTGAAATTCATTTTTATAATTATAACTATTATTATTTTAGTTTTGTAAATCTACTTATAAAACATTTTTATTAAAAAAACAGATACATTTAAAAAATAACATTCGGTTATTTTTCAAGTATATAGGAATAATAATAAAACGCGACTAAATATGGAAGCCTAAAAGGCTTGAATCTTAAAAATAATTTAATTTTTGTTTAATTATTTTCTAAAACGTATTAACATAAGTAAAATTTACTAAAATTTTAATTCATTTAAACTCTTTAAAACACTTCGCATTTTGGTAAGTAGAAATTGCCTAAAATAACATATTTGGCATTGTAGTGTTGATCATCCTTAAAAATATTGTAGAAAGACTCTATCTATCCCAAAAAACCATTTTCCAAGAGTCCCTAACGAGGTTCACCCATATCGGACCTCGTTAAAATTCCTGCGAAATCAGTGCGAAATGAAATGAACACAAAACAGAAAAAAGGGAAAAATAAAGCAAACGAAATCGCAAATATTTCGTATCCTACTTATGTTTTACGATTTTCGTGAATGTACGAGGGTTTTTCCCTACCCCCTCAATTGGTGGGGAAACCCCCTCCCGCTGCTTTTTATTCGTTTTTATGCCTTTTTGCATACTTTATATATTTGTGCAAAATTTATGTGCGCTATTGTTTTTATGGCATGCACCCATTTCGCCCCATGTGCCATATACCCCTCGTCCTGGAAGAAAGCGAAAATGTTATCCTTGTTCGAAAGGCATTTTAATGCCAGCCTGGGGTTGGGTGGAAATGGAAATGGGAGTGGGAATGGAAATGGAAGTGGAAGTGGGAATGGGATTGGAATTGGATTGGAGCTGTGTGGTTGGGTGGCTGCTCTGGCACTTTTCTGCAAATTATGGCACATGCGGCGACGTCGGCATTATGCCTGATCCTTCTGCCTTTGATATGGCATACAAGTATATATAAACTTACACACACGAGTATGTTTTTATGTAAATCCGTATATGCCTGCCTGGAGCCCTATCTATCCCCCCTCTGCTGCCACTTAAGCTGCTTATGTGGCAAATACATAAAATAAAAATAAAATGTAAGAGAAAAGTCGGGAGAGAGGGAAGAAAATCCTCGCATAACGAGCATTTCCCTCTGCCATATTTGTGTTATTTTATTATCATTTTTCTTCGACATTCTTGTCGTTCGAGAAGATTTTCTCACAAAATGGCGGGCTGTTTAGGGCTTTTCTGTTCATGTTTATTTTCCATCGACTTTATCTTTTTGTTTTCTTCGGACAAAATAAATTGGCAATACAGAAAGCTAGTAATTAATTAAAATAAGAATTTCAAATTTAATTAATTATATACAAGCCTTACGTTCAAAATAAAATTATTTCAATAATCAAAAAATTAAAATCATATCACTGAATAAAACAAAATTAAACTTTTCCTTAAATATGTTCACAAATAAAGTCGCTAAAATGTTTTAATGACCTGTTTTACAATATTTTGTATGGTGAGAGCCGATCAGGAAACTTATTGGACAATTATTTTATTTTTTGTGCTGTTCAATTGAAAAATGAAAATGTTTATAAGGATCGCATATTTTATCGGGGCGTTTAACCAATGCTTTTTATGACCTATCCTACAATCTCGATATTTCGCTGAATCATTTCTTTCTGTGTCTCTATTTCCCAGACGACTGGAGCTTCTTTGCATTGGGGGTGTTCACTTTTATATCTGTCAGATATGAGTTGCCATAAACAGTACGTGTGGGCGTGGGCTTATGTGTATCTGAATAAATGTGGATGTGTGCCACTGATACGAATCCAATTTCTCAGCAGCAACAATAAAACTGGGCTCAGTCTTTTGGGGGCGGGGCTGTAACCGAATCTGTATTTGCTACTAAGACTGACACTGAGGCTGAGAAGAAGAAAGATACTTTTACAGAGCCTGAGATGACGATAAGCGAAAATGGCGAACCGCCTTATGACGCGACTTAACGGGATTCCATGCGCCCTGATTATGGGCATAAATACGAGCCACCCACCCCGCCATCATGCGAGGAAAATTTAAATAAACTGATAAACGAATCCGCTCTAAGCCGCAGCCAACGTTGATGACTGTTTCGACTGTTGTTTCCCCTGCCTCCCAAAAAAAAAGATACAACTTCTGCCCGGCAGAAGATGCAAAAATGAAGACGGGCAAGCTGCTTTAATTAAAGTCAGAAGGAAGCGCAATGGTGGCCAGGGATGGGGGGGAACCAGACCAGAGCAGACCGGAGGACCTGGTCGCGGGACCGCTTGTTTATGACCCGCAACGGTCGCAGCGATCAGATACAGTATCTTCACCTGACACTGCGCCTGGGTCCGCCCGATCCGGCTGCCTGCGGTGACAATTTATGACGTACAACCTGGCCGCCTGGCCGCCGAACAGGAACCACTTCCCCAGCCAGCTCCCCAATCTGCTAATCCTGCTCCTCCGCTCCTCTCGAGCAATGGATGCTGCAGTAGCCACTGGCCAATGGCCGGCGAGCTTATGAAAATCATAAACACTGAACGGCGGACGGCGGTGACATCCGAGCAACGAATATGCATTTTAATAAAATATCCTAAAAGCCACATAAATCACATCCGGTTAGAGCATCGCGTGCTTCGAGTGGAGTTTATCGGGCGGCTGCCGCTTAATGGGTTTACCAACTTGCCTTTAATCCCCGCCTTGGAGCAGTTCCCTGCTCGACATCGCCATCGCAGTGATACGTTTCGGTACCTCCGTTTAATCCATTCACTTATCTTTGGGGAGGTCACATTCTTTGATTACTCGAAAACAATAAATGTATCTGTTTTAAAAACATAAAGTTTACTATGCTCTTCTGGTACTTTTAAGCGATATAATAATAAGTAAATAAAATACAGAAAAAAATATAGATATATTATTTTTCACATTCAAGAAAAATTAATATTAATACAAAATATTTCCTTAAGTATCATCTTTTTATAGCTAGATACCATGATCCATGTAACATTATTAAAAAAATGTAATTAGCATTAAATAAAAACAATTTTATTAATAAGTCAATTTTGTATAAATAATAGACAGAAATCATAATTGAAAAATAAACCTATTTAATTATTATTCAAAGATGGACTGATTTGCACAAAGCTTTTAAGATTTCTAAATATTAGTTTCTAATGTTTCAAATACAAATTTCCAAACTTAAAGTGCTCTATAGTAAGTTTGACGAGTTGAAAACGGGCATTCTTAAAAATTGGTGCAGAAAATCTTTCTGCTCAATCTATTAGAGTTGCGGGGACTCCTTTATGTATAAATACAGATAAACTTGGCAAATTTTACCCCGCTTTAATGTCTATCAAGATTATAACAACTTTCATATATTTCAAGGGAACTACTTTACTTTTGTAATCAGAAGTAAAAGTAAAACCAAAATCACCCTTCAATTCCTTGATCCCCAAGCCATCACAAGATATTTATTTATAAAAAATATATCATGAAACTCGTGTTGCCCTTGAGCTGATAAAATTAATTTAATCTATGTCCAATTGGAGCCATCAAGTGCCAACTGTCAAAATATTCAAAAACCGACACTTTTCGTCTAGACTTGACCAGCCGCAGGCGCAGTTGGTCATACTTCTTGGCCAATTATCAATATCTGAGCAGGAACTGGAGCAGGTTCCAGGCAGGATCCCGAACTGGAGCAGCTATAATTATGACATATGATGGCACCGATGCAGGACCGACCCATGTCAAAAAGTCCGTACATACAGGCATAATTTGGACTGCACCGGAGACGTGGACGAGGGTCTTAGGTTCGTGGAATAATGATGCTGGGTTCTTGACACATTTGAGTGCTAATTTAAAAGTCTCGCACATGACCATGGCCAGGGATACATCGATTATGGAAAGAGGTGTCGTTAACCCTCCCCTTTCCCCTGGAACGACCTTTAATTTTGCACATACTTATCATATTTTGTTCTTAAAATTGGGTAGGATCGTAGAAGGTTGCTTACAAAACGATTGGTCATGATTAAGGGGGTCTTCTAGTCTAGAGGCTCGAATTTCGACCTTTTTTTAACAATTAATAAAAAAAAAGCAATAGATATTTTTACTATCCGTTTTTTTATCACTTGTTTATTAAACTTAAAGGAGTACAAAAAATAAATTAAAAAAAAAAAAAATTAGTTTTCATTGAGTTATTCCTTCTTGAAGAAGAGGGGAAAAAAAAGAGGACGTGTCCGCGTCGCCATGATATCTATGCTTGTAGTTATCTGAAAACTAAAACAATGGTAGATTCTTAATGAGTACCAATGTCGCTATGGCATGAACCACCAAAAAAAAAATATCTTTTTTTTTTATGAAATGGCGGCTACTCAAAGAAAAAAGTCGATTTTTTTCACTAATTTTTCCACTTTGTCAAATTTTTAAAAATATTATAAATTTAAAATTTTTTTTTTTTGTTGGTTCATGCGATAGCGATATATTTAAAGAATATTCATGCCAAATTTCAAGTAAATCGACTGATTAGAACTTGAGTTAGAGTGGCGACCGCATCAAAAAAAGTAGTTTCGAGAAAAACGCGTTTAAAGTTCCAGTCGTTCCCTCAACCGGTCTAGTTGCCACGTCACTAAAACGGCTATAGCTATGAAAATAATTTGAGTTTTGAAAAATCCTTTTAGGAAGATATTTTTGAATATCCAAACTATCGAATTATGAAAAAAAAAATTTTTCGATTTTCTCAAATTTCTAGACTAGAAGACCCCCTTAATAGCTAAACATGTAGACAATAAACATTTTCTATAATCCTAAAATAAATATTTAAGTTATTCTTTTTGAAACGTATACGTATATATATTTATATCATTGTCTTTAAATGGTTTCTCATTTTTAAAAAGTGATTAGGTTTTTGTAAATAATAATAATAAAAAAATTTCATGTGAGAGAACAAATATTTATCGATATGGCAATTTACTTTACATGGTCTAATAAATAAAAGTTATTATTTTTCCAAACTTGAAAAAAAACGAAAATGTATATAGGACTTAAAAATAATAATATTTGTTTGTTTAATGATTAACCAAGAAAACTTACACTATCAAACCTATTGATATTGCTTAAATGTATTATGTCAATATTATACAAAACAGGAAAGGAAAGCTAACTTCGGGCGGAGCCGAAGTTGATATATATTTGCAGAATATTCTATAAATTATATTCTCCAAAATTATTCATATGATGCATTCTTAATACTCATAAAAAGTCCCAACTTCCTAACTTTAAAAACAACAAAGTTATGGCATTTCTAATCGTTCGTTATATGGCAGCTATAGGACCGATCGTTCAGTTATATGGCAGCTATATGATATAGTCGCCCGATCCGGCTCGTTCCGACTTATATACTACCTGCAATAGAAAGACAACTTTTTTTTCAAGCAGATAGCTTTAAAACTGAGGAACTATTTTGCGTAGAAACGGACAGACGGACATGGCTAGATCGACTCTCCATGTAATGCTGATCAAGAATATGTATACTTTATAGGGTCGGAAATGTCTTCTTCACTGCGTTGCAAAATTTTGACTGAAATTATAATACCGTCTGCAAGGGTATAAAAAACAAGCGCAAGTAAGCGATAAGAACATTAGCTCATTTCTATTTATATTGTAATCGATGCATATATATACATATTAGGCGATCTGGTTTCTTCCGATTTTTGGACAACGGACCAGAGATTAGGAAGACCACTTGCCATACATCCGGAATATGAACGTTCACGGGACTTATCAGCAATATTTTAGGCTTCGTTGCTTCTTCAACTTATAGCTAAATTTCAGTACACTTTTTAAATTCGATTTGAGTAGATGGAACATCTTAAAATGCTGAGGCTATTATCCTATTTGCTTGGCCTATTCATTTTTCCCAGTGTACAAGGAGGCCTTGAGTCCAATTCAAAGGATCAGTCGTTGTGCGTTCTCCAAGATGCACCTCAACAATGCGGCTCCTTTTGCCTGGCTGCACTCAACCCGCTTTTTGACGATTCTGATAGTATGCGAATGACGTTGGATGAAATCAAGGCAGAGCAGACAGCTCTTAAGGATTTCTTTAGGATGACCACGTTGCAAGGACAAGAGGATCTGCAGGCCGGACTCGATTCGAGATTCAAGCTGGCGGAAGAACAACATATGACGGTGAATTCCGAAATGAAGAACCAACTGCAGGAACTTAAGAACAAAGTGGAGGGCCAGCACACGGGACTCCAGGAATCCGTGAGCAAGATCATCACAAAAGCAGACTTCGCGAATTCAATGAAGGTTCTGCAGACCAAACTGGATGTGGGATTGAACAGAATGGAGGAACTTAGAACGGTGAGTTGCGGCTAGTTAGACATTCTTTCGCGTTCCTATCGGAAATGGTTTTTTTTAGCCAATAATACTGCACTGGAATTATGTATTGGGTAATATTCAAATTTCTTTCCTTGCATTAATTTTAGTTTCGAATTGACGATGCCAGTTATCGGTGTATTTGAAAGTGTTTCTTTTGATTTACTTTTGATAAAACATCCTCTTTCTGGGTTAACTACAATTAAGATTTACAGCAGTTACCAACTAATTACAATATTGAAAACAAATGCAATGAATATTATTTTAACGCCTGTTCTAAATCATTTTGTACAGATGAAAACAACTGCCGATGACAACGATAAACTCAAAATCCAAGTAAATACCCTACAAGTCACTATAAAAGACTTGCAGAGTAAGTTAAAAATATCCGAAGGTCAAACCAAAAGCAAAGAAAATATTTTAAGGGTGAAAGAGGAGCACCTTAAAAATAGAGATAAACAAATCTCAGACTTTAGGATTCAAATTAATGCGATTAATAAAACCAAATCAGAACTATCTGGTCAGCTTTCTAAATTGCACAAAATTGATGACAAGTTAAAAATATCCGAAGCCCGAATCAAAATAAACGAAAGTATTTTAAAAGTGAAAGAGGAGCAAATCAAAAGCCAGCAAAAAGACCTTACAAATAGAGATGAACAAATCTCTGATCTTAGGACTCAAATTAATGCGATTAATAAAACAAAATCAGAACTATCTAGTCAGCTTTCAGAATTGCGGAAAATTGATGTCAAGTTCAGAATATCCGAAGGTCTAATCAAAATAAAAGAAGATATTTTAAAGGTGAAAGAGGAGCAAATCAAAAGCCAGCAAAATTACCTTACAAATAGAGATGAACAAATCTCTGATCTTTGGACTCAAATTAAAACGATTGAGAAAAGAAAATCAGATCTATTTAGTCAGCTGTCGGAATGCCAAATAAAACTCAGGGAGATGGAACCATTTAAGGTGTCATGTGCGTCTTCTCCACCTGGTTGGACTGTAATTCAGAGACGCATTGACGGATCCGAGAACTTCAATCGAAACTGGAATGCGTATAAAAGAGGATTTGGGAATGTCAAGGGAGAATTCTTCATCGGGCTGGAAAAATTGCATCGGATGACTGAGGCACGACCCCACGAACTCTACATTAAACTTGGGAGTGTTAATGGATCCACCAGCTACGCTCAATACGATGACTTTATGATCGGAAGTGAGGAGGAATTGTACGAGTTGAAGAATCTAGGTGAATATTCTGGAGAAGCCGGAGACTCCCTCACAAACAATAAGAACCAAAAGTTCTCCACATTTGATCGGGATAATGACAATACTAGTGGAGCAAGTTGTGCCTCTTCATTTGGTGCATGGTGGCACAATGACTGTTCAGAGAGGTATACCTGTTTATTTATGCTCTTATTAAATCTTCTTACTATAATCACTTAAAATTACAGTATGCTCAATGGAAAATACTTGAAAGATGGCAAAGGTTGGAATGGAATTATTTGGTACTTATGGCATGACGATTGGGATGAATCACTTACCTTTGTCGAAATGATGATAAGGCCCAAGGTATTCTACTTAGTAAATCCCACTGTTTAAGTATGATATATTTGAATATTAATAAAAAATACTAAATCTATACTGTACTGATAAATTTATTGATTTATAGATTTGATTAAGTGATAGAGATTATTTTACAGTTGATCTGCGTATTTTAAGAACATAAGTACGGATAAGTGGAGAGGGTTGGTAAGCTATTTGAAGATATTACTCAATTTGGGTTTACAGGAATCTGTAAGTGCCTTCTTGCTTCCAATTCGCCGGAATTCGGAATCCTGAATACGGAATCTTGAATCCGAACCCCGGGAAACATTCATTCAACGACACTCCCTATATAAACGATCTGCCATTATTATTAATTTTCATATTTATAAGTTTAATAAGTGTTAGGGAGTTTGGGGAAATGATCTGAACAAGGGTACTTTTCAGCCTCAAGATACTATTATTCTTGGGTCCGCATATTGGAGGTGGATGCTACCCAAGGGGCAAAGTCAAGGCAACGATTGCACTTCTGGTCTGGAGTTGAATGTGATTCCCGAAATCTATTCAAATACCGGAAGACGGTGTCTACAAACATACTTGCGCACAGATAAGCACTCTAAGAAGCATCTGAAGATCATTCTGTGTTATGCGTTCGCTTTTTATATCCAGGGGATATTTTAAAAACAAACATTTGACTGAAATTATATTACCCTCTGCAAGGGTATAAATATTAAAGTTGTGTAAGTAGGTTTTATAAAATAAGGATTTTTGTTGTATTAACTCTAATTTTATCGAAAGTTTATTTGTGTTTATTGTAGCTATTGACACATCAAAGGTAAAAAACTTTTTCTTAAAGTGTGTATTAATTCCAATGAAAAGTAAATACCAAAAATGAGACCATAATCAACATGGCACATTGTATACATTGTGGGTCCGCCTGCTGCCCCCCATTCCCGAAACCCCCCTCTATCAACCAGACAGACATTTAACGATAACACCCAAAGATATCAAAATCGAAATATCGTTAGACGGTCCCGCGCAAAATGCTTGACAAGCATAACAAACACTGGGTACATGGGTCCTGGGTCCTGGGTCTCAGCCAGCCTTTTATGATGGTGACGACCACCCCGAGCACCACCCACGACACCACCCAAAACACCACCACCCACCACCCACCGCCCAACGCCCACTGCGACGCATTCAACATGGCGTCGGTGGCTGTTTCGCTTTCTGTTTCGCTTTCCCTTCGCTGGATGGGGGGGTGAAGGGGGATTCCCCCCGTTCGGTTTGTGTGCGATATAAACGAAGTTTACCAAATAAATAAAAGCCATCCCCCCGCTTCTCGTCTAGCGATTGGGTTGCAATATATCGCGTACGTGCTGGCATGCCATAAATATGTGGCCCATGTAGATGCGAGGCAACAAAATTATATTTCTGTTTGTGTTTGCAACAATTTATTTTTTTCCCTCTACGCCACCAGTCCGCCCCGCAATGCCACGCCCACCGTGGAGATAAAGCGAAAACATTTTTCCAGCTCAACTCGCAGCGCAATCGATAACGATGAGGGAGACAAAGGAACCATCGAAGGAGCTTATTAGATGTATATAGTGTACCCAGCACCCTGAAGGTAATCTTGAAAATATGTAGTGCAAGCAAATTTGGCCAAGGACCGCAGCTTGTGGTGAAGTCCTGGAAAGGACACGAATCCTTAGCCAGCCCATATGCTTCCATATTTGAGTTGTGTCCAGGGCAAAGGTACAACGCCCTTATGCATGCAAGTGAGCACCAAATTAAAGATTTCACCAAATCCGTCTTACCACTCAAATATGTACAGAAGAATGTCCACATAACTGATTGTGACCGAAGGTAACTTAAATATACACGAGTGCACTGGATTTTTCAAAATATAAATACAGTCTAAGCAGTGCGTTATAACAAAGAACTTTGATCACAACTATTTTTACAGACCTTTGGTTGAGCATTAAAACTTGTTTTATATTAAAATGTAAAAATATACGGTTGCCGAAGTGCAACCGAAATATATTGGAAAAAATAAAAAATACAATTTAAAAACTTTTATTTAAAACATTTTTCAATTGTTGACCTCGAGCCGGAAAAACTCAAAAATTTACATATCCATAACCATAGTAAAGTAATATTCCTTAGGCACATAATTAAATGAATCAGACAATTTTGAGATAACTCCAAATTTATCCTATCAGAAGATACAAATGTAAAATGTATTTCTTTTTTAAGTAAAGTCTCTCTCGAAATGATTGATTCAGTAGCCAAATTAAGTATTAATATTATTTAATTTAGTATGACTTTATTTTTGACCTTTTAATGCATAAAATAAATGCTGACAAACTATAAATTTTTGGAAATATATTCAAAAAATTGAGAAATATTAAGGGAAAACAAAATAAAATAATTTTCAAAAATAATTAATCTGTTATCTGTTTATCTGTTATGTGTAATAGATTGCATCCGAATTTCACTGTTAAACTGCGACCTGCACTCAAGAACAGCTCGAAGAAAAACAAAGAAACTTTGGAGGAGAAGGAAAATGGCAGCAGAAAAATCGGAGCACAAGCAACAAGCCAACAAATTTAAAATGTGAAAACTTTGCAAGTAGTTGAAAGTTGGCAGCAGGCGAACGAACCGCAGTCGCCAGAGAAAAGCGGCGGGGAATTGGAAAGCGGGGGAAATTCTTTGTCTGCTCTGGAGTGAAGGGTGTGGGGGGGTGCTGGGGGGTGCAGGTGCAAACAGGACTGAGATACGGGCATAAGGATACGGACTCGAATACGGATACGGGACTCGATGATTTGATGTAGCCGAAAATCTGCCGCTGAGATTTTCTTTGTGGTTTCGACTTCTTTTGATATGAGAGCATTTTCCAACGTGGTGCACACTCAAGAGGAGTTTGCCCCAATCCCAGCGCCTGTCATTTGCCAATTCAACTAAAACTTCAAAGAACCGGGAGTGCATCCCCCTGCCCAGAAAGTGAATCCCCGTGGTCCGTCGCCATTTTGGACCGGATCGCTACTCACGCCCACAAAGGAGTCGCAACCACAAGTTCAAGCAGGAAGTGGGTGTTATGAAATATGACGAGATATGAACTCATAATCCACCCTTGCATAGCTCCTCTGATTTTGCGCAATAGCGGATTCGTGACAACCCGAATTGACCAACCATTGGTCGTAAGAGGTTACTTTGAAAGTGAAATAAAATATATATATTATATATTATATTGTATTGTTAAATGTTGATCGACTATAAACAGTACATAATAAACAAGTGACCCAACAAAACAAAGGATACAATTATTTTGGACGAAAAAAAGGAGTTGTCGGGAAAAATACATACATATAAATAAGACAAAAATACGTTAAAAATTCAGTTTTGATTACAGGGATAGATTTTGAAGTACACATTTTATAATGATTATTAAAGATTATTAAATTATTATTATTCAAATTAAATTATTAGAACCCAATCCTTTAAATTATTGATAAGCAAATTAACGTTTTTTAATATTATTTGGTATTACAAATTTATATTGATCAGTCATAGTAAAAGGACATTATGAACTTTCACCATGCAATTTAGATTCAAACCAACCACAAGGCACTTGGCCAAAATGCCAATCAAACTGGCGCTGAGCAAATATTATCACAACAAGGCCGCAGAACAATGTGTGGGCCATCAATCAAACGGCACTCGGCAGCCAAACCAATCATCCATTTATCCATCCATCCAGATCCTGGCCGGCCATCCAATCACCCTATCGCTCAGGCGTATCGCAAGAACAACAACAATTTTCCAATTAAGCGACCAAAAATTTGAGCATATGATGATTATTGACGATAAGAGTCGGACACGAAGCCCCCATCCCATCCGCCCCAGGAATCCCAGTTGGTCTGCCGAAATGTGCAAATAAATCGCACAATTGTTCGCATGTCCGCTCGTCCTTTTCGGCAGGACGAGCTATCTGCTATCTGCTATCTGCGAGCATCGAAACTAAAAGTTAGCTGCGGCCACGCCAAACCAAAACAAAGAAACTTTCATTTCCAATTTTCTTGATGTATTAAATTATTTACGCCCTCTTGAGCAGCGGATTCGGATTCGTGTGCGTGGCCACTCATATAAGCGTCTAGGGATACATAGACATGTGTATATATACCTCATTATGTTTACTTGCTGAACAGTACATTCTTGCTAAAATTATTTGTCCTACAGTAATGTAGATAAATTATATTAAACAAGATTACATTTTGCGATTTATTTTAGAAGAATACGTGTTTACTAGCTGGTGAAACTGATTAAGTATTTACGTGTAAAATTAAGTTTAAGGAAAGGTGGTGACGAAGTTCCGAACCACTCAAATTATGAGTATAAGTTAGAACATTCACACCCCTATATTAGACAATATAAACTTAAAAATTTATTCATTTTTAGATACAGAATGAAACAAATTATTTTTCAGATTGGATTTTTCTTTTACAATTTTCATGCTCATTTATGAAACTAACAAGGAGGTGTTGCATGAAGTCAATGTCCAATATCTTTAATGGCAATAAACAGTAGTGGACTTTTCCATTGAGCAAATTAATTATACATTTTTGAAACAAAAAATGCAACTGTGGTAGAGCGGCACGAGCTCATTATTGGTTTAAGTCATAATTTTGTCTTGAGTTATGGTTAAAATTATCAGGTTGTGTAGAGATTAAAAAAAAAATAGAAAATTAATAAGCGAATAGTCATATTTTATATATTCCTTTTATTTATTTATAGAATTTGTACAGGTATGTTAGAAACAATTGTGAAAGAAAAGAACTCATTATATTTTGAGAACCCGAATAACGATTATTTGTATTTATTTTCATTAAACCATAAGTTTCTGAAGAAACTTACTTTGAAAGTTATAGTAATCACAAGTATTGCCAAGTTTTGACTTGCCCCTAACCTTTTTTCTTTTCTACATGGTAATTATTTTTTAGAGGCTAAATTTACAACAAACAGATATTTAGAGCGTACTTGATTTTACCAACTTAATCCAAATTATTTTGTTAATTTTAATGCGTGCAAATTCATGGTGACATTTTATTTCCTAATGAGCTTATTTAGAGTTATCTGAGTGGAAAAGATAACTAGGTGAGAGTGTCTCACTTTTGTCACTTTTCACTGCGATTTAACTGTCGCCAGTTGGCCTGATCTGGTCTTCAAAAGCGAAATACTTACTGGGGGATAAGAGCTGTTGATTTTCACAGTTGGTGCGCAGAAAAGAAAATTTCTTAACTGTATCCAACTCAGTTTCACCCAGTGGGCCAGTGAGCCAAATGTGCAGCGATCACCTCACGGCATCGACGGGGAATCCCCTGCTCCGTGCCGAATCAGATGCAATTTATGATAACCAATTTGCGGGCAACATCCATTCGCACACATGCGATATGTTATGCCAGCACCAGCACTAGCACCGATCCGATCCTAACTCGAAATCCGAGGGGCAGTAGCCGATGTGGGCTTAATCATTCTGCTGCACGCATCGTTAAACGTTATTAGTTATTGCCAAGATATAGTGTGGGGATTGGTTGTTGCCTTCGGGGAACAGCTGGAGTGCAAACACCCCCCCGCCGATAGTTGCTGTTCTTTTGGATCTTAATAACCATATTTCTCTGGTTCTCTCTTTTCGAGCACTGATTTACTCGTATTTTATTCATAACATTTGGGCAGTTCTGGTGTACTTGTGCTCTAGTGCTCTATTTGAAGAGAACCTACAGTGGTTATCCCAACTATAATACATATCAATAGCAAATAAATATAAGTAATTTATTTTCTTTAAAATTTGGTTTTAATAAGATATTAATTTATACAACATAAAAAGAGTAAAAAAATACTTTTTTTGCTAGAAACTGTCTACAATAAAAGTTTTGATAATTTCCCAGTTAACTTGCAAAGATCGATAAATATATAAATATAATCATTTTCCTTGAAGCCGATTTTCTTCCAGGAATTTATATTAATTTTATTTATTAAAAAACCAAAAAGGAAGTTAATTTGGGCAAGCCAATTATAAGGATAAGTCAATATTTTTTATATGCCCAAAACTTCTTATAACACTTTTAAGATATAGAAATCCCATTTGAATGTCCTGAATTTTCATAGACCGTTTTTTGTTAAGTTAACTATTAACTGTTGCTGACCAATATTATGTTATTATTTTATTTTACTTAATGTAAAAATGATGTGAACAATAAATTAAAAATTGGACTTTATAGATGTAGCTTTTTATAAATTCTTAAGCTATATTTAAAAGGTTTTTGAAATTGGATAATTTTGGCTTTGGTACAGTGAACCCAGAAAAAGCCCTTGTTCAAAGAGATTCTATAAAAAACATACTAGACGGTAGTATCGGATAAAAAAAGATCTAAATGTTATATAAGTGACACCTAATAATATGCAAATATTTTAGTTTAAATTGGTCCTTCAAATTGTTTTTAAATACTAAATCCTAATAAAATTTAGGAGTTTTAACCATCCTCCTTCTAATAAAATAAAAAAAATATGAACCCTGCAAATATTATTTGAATTTAACTACATTGTATTTATGAGTACACTAACCTGTAGACCACAAAGTTAATGGTATTGACTTTAGAAACATATGCATACGCGCATAGAAATCGAAAAGTGCCACTTTCTTGCAGGTAACAAACCCCGTGGATCGCGGGACCTGAACATGAATAGGCATCCATCCGTGGTTGGGTAACGAAAACATGTCAGCGCCTACAGCCGGCTGAGATGAGAGCATAACTAAATATGGCCAGTGCTAATTGCCCTCAAAGTAGCTGCTGTTCCATCCCCATCTCCATCTTCAACTCCAGGTCCAAGATCTGTCTGCGTCCCATCGAACACGCCAGTTCTTTCCGTCTGAGTGCGTCCCTATCTCCGATCGCAATTTATAAAAGCTCTGCCCGCCCAGCGATTTCGCTGCAGTAGCATCCCCAGATTGCCGGCGAGTGGACGTGGATATAAGACACCGAAGAGCCTCTCAAGTGTATTACCCTGGATAGCCGCATCGGTCAGCAAGGACCCCACCATGAAGCGTCTCGAGTGGCTGCTGCTCCTGGCGTGCGTAGCATCCGTGTCAACGGCAGTGGCTCCACGGAGGAGGCGTCACAGCACAGCGGTGGAATCATCGCCCACCTCCGGTTCCAGTGATTGGGGATCGGCCTGGGGATTGGGTCTGGGTCCCGAGATGGCACTCGTGCGGAGGGTCTACGACGACTGCCAGGACAAAAACGACTTCATCGGCTGCCTCAAGCAGAAAGCCCTCCATGCGCTCAGTCGAGCCCTGGACCAGGACTCCATCAAGATCGTGGACGGCCTGGTGCTGGAGAAGCAGAACCAGAGCGAGACGGAGAGTGTCCTGGGCTCCCTGACGGATGCCCGCCAGTTCGGCAGCCTGCCGCCCATCGACCGAGCCCTTCTCTCCAAGGCGGACAAGCTGATGCGGACGCACACGCTCAAGATCGACATGGACGGAGGTGGCGCCCAGGAGAGTGTGGGCCGTGGCCACGAGCACGGGCACAAGAAGAAGAAGCACAAGGACGGGGGCCACATCAAGTACGTGGTGGCGGCCCTCCTCACCGCCATGGGCATCGCTGGTCCTCTGGGCCTCAAGGCTCTGGCCGCGATCGCCGGCAAGGCTCTGGTCATCAGCAAGGTGGCCCTGACCATCGCCGGGATCATTGCGCTGAAGAAACTCTTCTCGCACGACCACAGCGAGGAGACCAGCTTCCAGGTTCACGCCGGTGAACACAACAGGTGAGTCTCCGATTCATGTCCAATGTGGAAAAATACAGAGTATACGAAATCCAAAATAAACATAAAGGAATGTTAAATAGAATAAATCTTCTCAGATACAGAAATACCCTTATAAACCTCAGACTTTCAAATACATTTTATATTGCACTTAAAAATACTCCTGCACTTTAAATTTTAGCCATAAGAGAAAGCCAAACCAAATTAAAATCCAATCAAAAGGAAGCCAAAGTTTATATACACTTATAGCTGATACAAAAATTAAACATTTTATATTTCGATTTTAATCCGTCTATGCTTAAAAACAATGAAGACTTAACTATTTTCGAATATGTCGTTTTTATGGCAGCTATATAATATAGTCGTCCGATTTGTATAAAATTGAAACCGTATTTCCGGAATTGTTAATGTCGGAGTATAAACGTATATTTTAAAAACAGCGTAGCCATAATTTTTGTTCCAATGGGAGCGTTTACAATCTTTTAACTGACATTATAATAAACTCTGTAGGCGTTTAAAAATCAATGGATAAATTTGTTTATATACAGTAGTAAAAAAAAACTATAGAAAAAACTTTACAAATGTCTTTTGCCCTTGTAGGTAAATATTCCATCTAAAAACGACTTTTTACTTTTTAATTCATTTACACGCTTCCATCAAATATAAGAAGAATTGGGAATTGAAAAACCTAATATACCCAATAAAATATTATCTTCCTGCAGGCGCAACACTTACGTGATCCGGCCGGTGTCCAAGACGAGCGGTGGTGCAGGAGCAGGAGCTGGAGCCGGAGGCGTGGGCATGGGTGTGACCGCAGCCGGAGGCAGCTCATCGGTGGATCCATATCGCTACTACTACGAGTACCACCAGCAGTAACGCGAGTGCACAGTGTCGAGTCGGTGTCTGGAGAAATCTCCGCCGTGGTCCGGCGGAGTCCTGAAGCAGCTAACCTACCAAAGAACCGATCCACATCCAGTCGGGCCCATTCAGTGAAGCCCGACAGCAGCCGTTCACCTTAAAGTAGCTCCTAAGTTGTAGGCTAATCTATTATGCAGTTGTCTGAACCATGAACCCTGAAAATGAAACCCAAATAATAAACGATATTGAAATGTACTCTTAGAGGTTATACAAAAAAAGCTTCTGTTTATTCCCCTTAAAGATCGGCAAACACAAAAATAAGGTTTTGGAATGTAAACTAATCAATCGGAATCATCCGATATAACATAGCTTGCGGTATTTCGAGTACCTCTGGTGATGCTGCCTAGGATAGTTTGCTGTCTGCTTGAGGCACGCTGTTCATGATTTAAAAAGATGTGAAAATTATTAAACTTTTATATTTCACTCTAGTGCATTATTGCCTACCGCATTATTGACAGTCATTTCCAGCTGCGCCTTGCCTCGTGTGGCGACTGAGGCGGCAGAAGTACGACCTCTACCAGTTCCAGCTCCTCGACCGCGGCCACGCCCTCGTCCCGTCGTGGTTGCCGTGGAGGCGTTGGCTTCGCTACCCAGGACAGAAGTGGACTTATCGTCCCGCTTCACTTTTACTCCCTGAGTATCTAGCATTTTTAGCAGATCCTCGTGCTTATGGCGCGTCCTAAATTTTAAGAGCTCGTCGTCGATGTTCTCCTCGTTAGGCATGGATTCCATTAGATGATCCACTGCCTTTTCCTTGTAGAATCTGGATAAAAAAGGGATTAGGTATGTACAAATATTTGCAATGGCGACTCACTTCACGATATTTTCTGCTGCATCAATATCCCTTCGCTCCACCAGTCGATAGGTCATCTCTGCCAATGCCTTTGAGTGGAACAACCTTAGAGGTTTATTGGACTTGGCCTCGTCGAAATAGCGATCCACCAGCTCCTCTACTCGAGTGGCATTATCCGCCTCCTAAAATATATGTTTTAATATAAATAACGTTAGGTATATTGCATGGAGTTTTACAAAGATTTTAAAATAAAAACGCGTCCTGTTCTTCCTTGGGCCAGAAAAAATTTACTCTAAAGTTTGTTTGAACGAACATCTAAGAAATTTAAACCAAGAATAGGTACTTATTAAATATAATTAGTTCAGCTATTCTAGGCAATTAGGGTAATATTATATTTCTGTCAACATTAAAATAAAACATATCTTCAAAATATAATATCTACATGAATAAGATGTAAATTATAAATTCCAATTATAAATGCCCATCTCATAACGTTCTAAATGTTCAGCCTTATGAATGTCATTCTTACCAGTGCGCGTCGCAATGCCTCCTTGTCCAGGCTGACGGTCTCTGTCTTGCTCCTCTTGATCATCTTGCTGAATTGCACCACATCCTGGACATTGGCCACTTGGGTGCTGAACATTTGGCCGAACCGAATGGCGTTGAACATGCAGGACTCATCCGTGTAGAGAAGGCGCAGCCGGATGAGCGGCAGCGTGGGCTGCCGGGGATGGCCGGTGAGCTGGGCCTTCGCCCGCTCTAGCATGTCCTCTACCCGATTCTTTGCGAATTTGAAGACCTTTGTGGAGGCATCGCCCTGGTCCAGACCCAGCTCCTCGGCACGATCGGGCAGTACAACGGATTCGAAGACAAAGGGACGCACGGTGCGCAGGGGAAGCTCCTTCAGCTTGAACTTTCCCTTGTAGATCTCCAGCAGCCCGACGTGCTTCTTTTTGGCCTCGCCCTCGGACAGGGAGGTGGGCACCGAGGAGCCCGGCTGGGAGACATAGAACCCCTTCTTCGCATTTAGCTCCGGCTCAATGCGGCAGTCGTGTTCGTGGCCCCAAATCACCAGGTGGAGGAACCCCGGCAGCAGCTCCTCGGGCAGATAGTTCTTTGGCCCGCGATCGGCGCGATTCTGGTGCACCACCAGCAGGTGGAACCAATCCTCCTCCGTCTCCGTGTCGTTCTTGTCGCCCTTGCCGTCATTGCCTTTGCCTTCCGCCGCCGCCGTGTCGGGGCAGTTGAACTTGACCTTGAAGTCCTTTATGAGCCTGGCCAGCCGCCCGTCGTGAATGTGGCTCAGTCCGTACAGGGCCAGCTGACTCTCGCCCTTGCGCATCAGGATGGGGCTGATCTCCACCTGGCTGAGGTCCGTCCAGCGGCCAAAGTAGTTGACCAGGCCCGAGGTGCTCAGCAGGTCCAAAGAGCTCAGGCGGCCGAAGCCGCTGGGGTCGTCGTGATTGCCGTGAATGGAGAAGACCGGAATGGCGATGTTCAGGTTGGGGTCCTCGTAGTTCACCGACTGGTTGACGGCGTTGTGGAAACTCTGCGCCTGATCGCTGAGGATCTCAAGGGAAACGGGGCGATCGCCGAAGGTGTAGCGCCGCAGGAGCTCAATGCATCTGGAGGAGATAAATCGTGATGAAATGGAATGGGGGATGTCACTTAATCCCCACTCACTTGTGCATGGAGTTCTGGCTGGGCACCGCGTCGTGAAAAAGGTCTCCGCCCAGCAGAATCATGTCCACATCCTCAGAAACCGCCAGTTCCAGGATCTCCTCGAAGGCCGTGAAACTGTCCTCGCCGCGCACTGCGTCCTTTTCGCCGTAGCCGAGATGGTTATCGGTGGCCACCATGATGCGGATCACATTGTCTGCATCCTGCTCGGCTCCTGTGGTGTCTTCCATTGTCGGATTTATCCTTTGATGACTCCAATCTTAAATTTGCGCCTAATTTCGCCAGAAGCAATAGTGTTACCAGGTGGGGAAACCCAATATTTCCTACTACCAAAGTCATCCAATTGTATAAACAGCGCGGGAATTTCAAAAAATTAATTTAATTAAATAAGCGGGAAACTCAAGTAATATATAGAGATCATTTCCTTATTTCTTAACCATTCTTAAGATAATTGGACTTCTGCACATAAGTACGGCAATGAACAGTCCATTCCCGACAAATAAATCTATATCGACTTTAATGTAAGTAATGTAAATAATGTAAGTAATGTAAGTAATTTCCGGAATTGAAGTATTCTTCATAAATATATATTTCTTGTCAAATTATTGAAGTAAAACTTCAACAATGTTTCAACATTCCAAATAAATTTCCAGTACTCATATTGATTGTATTCATCTGAATAAAAAATGTTTCCATAACTTTATTTTAATTTACCTATGCATGTATATTTAATAAATTTGTATAAATCTCCCCTGCCATTTACAGGTCATTGTAAACAATCTAAAGCTAAATTACCGATAAAAGATCATTGTGTAGCCTGTCTCCAGGTGGCTTCTTCACATTAATGCTTATTGATGAGAGCGAGCTTATATCCGCCTTTTCGATCACAGCTCTTTGATCGCTTTAGTACAATTTTAATTTATTGTTCAGTCCAGATATGGCATTATAACTTCGTGGATGACATCCCTCCGCGTGTGCCAGGCAAGATGATGGACATGGGGTTTGACGACAATGATTAGTTTGCCAGCCTCCTGAAGGGTCTTGATGCCGATGGAGTCGCTAGTGAAGATCTTTCGCTTGATAAAAGGGATCACATCCATGTTCTCGTCGTAGTAACTAAAGTGGCTAAAAGCGAATTCCAGGGGCTATTATACTGTCGAAACTCAAAAGACAGCTGCCACCTTACCTGGATTGCCAGGGAGTGATAACATCGTCGTTGGGTCCTCCGATCATCACCAATCTATTGAGCCGCACCATTCCCATCTTGAAGGATGTGGAGTTGGAGGTCTGCTTCTCATTGTTGATCAGCGGCAGGAACTCACTGTACTTCATGTAGAGCTCCTGCCTTTGCGGATCGTTCCAGTAGCCACCCACCGAGGTGTGCTGGCCCACCCGCGAGTAGAACAACTCGAAGGCCGTCTTGGCTGCCAGGTCGGGAAATATCAGATGCAGGAAGCTGGCTGCAAGTATATCCAAACGGTAAAATTTATATTATTATTTATAAATTTTTAAAATATATTCTTCAAAAAATCCTAAAAGCCAAATGACTTATTTTAGGAACAATTTTAGAGGGAATTTTTAAAGAGAGTGTTTTTCTTAAGTATACGGGCTATGTATGCTTATCTCTAAATCAATAAATTGCCTTGACTCATTTTTGAAATTTGTAAATGTAGCAGTTTGATAATGGTGTAACGAGAACCTTTTATTGAGTAATTTTTGAATTATGATTTCGAAAATTTCACTCAAAAACTAACCCTACTTTTCCGATTTAAAGCGGGTTATATAAAAAAAATTGACATCATAATTTTTCCGAGAATACTATTTATTTTGCCTGATGAGGGCAAAATAATAAAGCCTTTGTTTAACCATCAAAATATATTATGTAAATCTTACAGCTAATGATTTATATTTTTAGCTATTACTCATTATATTTCGAGAGGGATTGGATTTCACTGGGTTCAACTTACTTCCGTATTGCCCCGCCTGTGGCGAAGAAAGGGATATGAAGGTCTTCACATTGTGATCCGACAGACTTTGGATGGCCGCCCGGGCCAAAAGACCTCCCTGGGAGTAGCCTGAAAGTGGTACAACATTGGGGATCAGAAATTAAACAACTTATAGAAAAGGAGTCTTGCTTTAACATACCCAAAACAATGATGCCCTCCGGATGGAGTTTGCCCACTTCGTTGAGGTAATCCCTAACTTGGTCGACCTGCCGCCAGGCGTTCTCCAAACTGTACCATCCGCTGAATTTATCGCAGTTATAAACTATGGTCCCAGGATGAATCTTTAAACGGAATACCAAACTGTTATCAATTGTTATTGCGCTGTTTGCGTCGAATTCGACCTTGTCACTATTGTTTTTGCTAGTAAACAATAACAAGGGGAATCCAATAACAAACCTCTTCGATTTCCCGGACCAGAAATGACATTGATTCGGCTCCGGAGAGGATTCCGTGGAGGATGACCACCGGTTTGTAGGCCAGTGAGCCGGAAATTGATAAGCAGGAGGCTAAAATCACCACAAGAACCTGCAACGGAAGCCTCATTTTGCAAGTAACAATGGATTTGGCTTGGAACTGTTGTTGTTGATGTATCCGTATCTTTATTAACTGACTCTTCTTCTTGCTCTTCGCTTTGGAAATTCGGAATATGCTGGTTTTTAATCCGACGAGTGAATGGCAATCTGTTTTGAACGAAATTATGAGCAGAGCGGTGTTTAAAAAAAGATTTAAATTTAAATTTATCAAATTGCTTATGTGTTCTCCAATATGGCATTATTTGCCTCTCAATTAATAATTTAAAGAAATAACGTTTATAAATTTAAAAAGCCAATTTAAGTAAAAAATCATAATAAAATAAATATACAAATTTATACACAATGGCAAAAATGTATTGTTTTTTTTTGCTTCTTTTGTTAGATATCCTTTGAACCACACATTTTTAAAAGCGATTTGAGCTTTATTGGATAAGTGATATATGGAAACAAGGGATTGAAATTATATTGATTAAAAGCGCCATGAGTTTGAGTGGCTGATTGATGGCTCTTTCCTTAAATACAATTCGATTTACCCATCTAAAAGGCATTGAATGAAATCACATCTCTGAATCATTACGTCTGATTCTTGTAGAATCTAAGTTTCAACCAATAATGATGTTTTGAAAAAGACAATCTATTGGGACTACTTAGCTCCAATGAAATCCCCGAGATCAGCGGAGCTTAAAATAATGCTCGTTTATTCACTCTCAGCTTACACGATCGTCGTTATGTACTTTGCACTATTGTGTCTTGCGTAAATTTAAGTCTATTCGCAGCATGTACGCTCCGCAATTAATATCTACGCTCTGTGGCTGGCGATCAACAGACTCCTCCTTCTGCACTTCGCACAATCCATTTGTCTTTCGGGGCCGGGAACAAGGTGATTTCAAGGTATATCAAATATGACAACACTTAACAGTTTAGGCTTAGGGCTAGGGCGGCATCTCAACCGTTTTGTTTAAGAGTTATCGATCTAGATTTGTAGCGATTCTGTTCCAAGTTACGTGATTCGTTATGCGGCCGGAGATCTAGTAGTAGAAGTCCAGCCCGTTCTGAGGGCTCGTACCTCACCCGGCCACCTCTTCGCTGACAAAATCCAGCTTGACCACCTCCGCGGGCAGGCACTCCTCCACGTCCACCTCGTTCTCCTGCACGTTGATGCGGTTGAGGGTCATGGACACGTCTGGGCCGCACTTCAGGCCCGCTGCCGTCCCTGCTGGCGCTCCTGCTGTTGCCGCCGCCGCTGGAGGATTGGAGGTAGTGCTCACCACATCGTCAGCGATGACCACCGTGGGCGAGAGCACTGTGGACACTGTCGGCACCACGGGAACCACGATCTGCGACGACGAGCAGGTGGACACTACAAGAGGCTGCTGCACCGCCGTCGTGGAAGTGGACGTGGGCTGCTGGATGATGATGTTCTCCGTGATGGTGGGCGTGTTGTTAACGGCCGAGGCCGCAGCCTGGGCCGCCGCTAGCGCCGCCGCTTTCTGCATCTGCTGGTACTGCTTTACGGTCACCGTCGTGCCCGTCGTGGTGGTAGTCTGTGGATGAAGGATGATCTGCTTGGGCTGCGCCACTAGCTGCACTTGCTGCACGACGGGCTGTGCCTTGAATACTTGAGGAGGCGGCTGCTGCAGGGACTGCGGCGACTGCGACTGGGGTGGCAGCGTCTGGAGAACGTGCTGAACCTGCTGGACGGGCACTTGCTTGGCGGGGATGCCGGCGTCCTCGAAGGCCTTCTTCTTCAGCGCCTGGCGAATCTGGGAGCTGCAATGGGCAAGGGTACCGGGGATTAGCACGGGACGAGCAGTATGTTCCCTCGCCAGGATCGCGGGATCACTGGATCACTTACACGGTGCGGTTCTTGATGCTCAGGCTGATCTTGGTCAGGTCGTCGGAGAAGCGCATGATGGACGAGTGCAGCATGTCGATCTCCTCGTCCGTCCACTTCCTGCAGCCGTGGCGAGGGAACAAAGAACACAGAAACGAAACACTCCGGTTAGGGTCTTCCGAATCTCGGGACTCCGGATCAACTTACCCCGATGGCGACTCCGCGTTGGGATGCAGCTGCATGGTGAGGTCGCCCAGTCTGCTAAACGCCTGTCCCGCGGCCGTGAATATCTCCCCCACCTGCAAGTGCACCCGGATTTGCATCCGGAGTCAGTTTGTTGTTACCGCGTGCAAATTCAAAACAAACGCACCGCCCCCCGCCCACCGCCCGCCACCCACAAGAAGGTGGAACAACAAATTTCCCACTCGCAGGAGTGAGACAAACGAACGACTCTCGACTCTCTCCCGCGCCGCCTTTTTTTTTGTTGCGGCGCTCGGGGACGCAGGCGGCGGGATTCTGGGGGGCGTGGGCGCCGGCGGACTGGGCTGAGCACCTGCACCTACCTTGGTTGCCGAATTCATGGCCTTTTTTTTGCGAGGCTCTGCTTTTTTGTCGTAATTTTCTGTTTGGCCTCAGCGTAAGCGTCTACAGCCCTTTCCAACACTGCAGCCTAGCTGGTCGCCGCCGTTCGCAACACTCAAGCGAGCCGCTCGATAATTATCGCTCCGGCGTCCGTTGAACGCTGTTCATCACTGCAACTTAAAATTTTCACATATCGACTAGTCGATTGACTGACATGTTGAGCCAGGAATTCAAAGTGCAACCGTTAGCTGAAAAATTACCCGATTCATTTTTGTTGTTAGGAGTATTATAGAAAACACAGTTGCATATAAACTTATGATACATTTTTATGTATGTAAGCTGTATTTATTTAATATCAAAATAGTTCCAAGCTCGAACCATACAGAATTACGGATAACAGTCTTGAGCTTAAGGAAAAAAGCAAACCAAAAATTTTATAAATTCGTTGTTTAATCAATGATTTACCATTAAAATAAATTAATATTGCTATTAATTACAATGCCTTATTTAATAAAGACTGCCGTTTAAGTCTTCCAAGTAATAATCGCTTTCGAACTGACTTATAAATCTAATGGCGAATACAGAATTTGTTGATCACTTTTGTTCAGATAATTTTTAATAGCGACTAATGACAGATACTTAACATATAAAAAAGAACATAAACAGAAATAAAGAATTATAAATTTAAACTCCACCCTTGACAGGATAACACTTAACAATATAACTTAATACTTGAATAACTTCCTAAGTGACTTATTTGGCTGCTTTCCGGATCACTCTATTATTTATTACGGAGCTGCACGATCCCCCTATTGTACTCGTATTTTTCTCGCAGAGTTGCGATTTCCCTCTTTTTTGTGATTTGCATTGCATCTGGAAACAATTGTTAAGAAAAGTAAGACAAAAATCAATATTTCACACGGCGGACATACCTTAAGTGGCATTTGTAAGGGAACTTATATTGATCTTGGGTTGCTTCACTGTTATCTTCAACTTGCTGATGCGATGATCATCTTTTAACTCAATGTTTGTCTTTCTTAGGATTGTCTCCAGTCCTGATTCAGTCTGTGTTTGCAGCTCGGCTCAGCACAATTGCAATTGTTGTCTGTAATGGAATTTATAGTGTAACATATCGAACAGCTCGCATCTAAACTGCACTCACCCATGGATTCGGTCATAGTACCGCCATCCCTAAAGTCGTTCCAGCACGACTGCTTTCGGTGCTCATCATAAGCCGTGATCCGTCGATTCTTTCGCACTGTGGACTCTATGCTGGCCGATTTCTTTGATAAAAATTATAATATTATTGGGTGGTCTTTGGTCTTCGGTTACACATATGTACCTTTGCCACACTGGTACTAGCGTTGCGATCTAGGGGTTTCTTGGCGGCCAAATCAGTTGCAGAAGTCGACGATCCGTTGGGCGGACTCGACACAAAGTTCACGTTCACTTTAGGCGCCTGCAAAGCCGCCAGTTCAAACTCAAGCTTAGTCGTCATCTCGCTGAGCGAGCACAGCTTTTCCTCGAGATTGCGCTTGTCTTCCAATAGACTGCAAATGGTGCCGTCCATGCGCTCCTTCTTCGTTCGAAAACTGGTTTCCTTAGATTTCTAGTAGAGAAAAGATTCAATAAACAATCTAGTAAACTACAAAGATCACAATAATATTACCAGGGTTGATCGTAGCTTCTCCGATTCTTTTGTGAGTTCATCAACCTTTTGCCCCATTTCAAGGCTTTTTTTATTGGCCGCTCTCATGGCTAGTTGGTGCTTATTCGAAGACTCTTGAAGAGATGCAAATGCTGCCTCATCGGCTTTCAACTTGAATGTGTAAAAAAAATAACACTCAGTAACAATCTAATAAATACCAGGATAACTACAATATTACCAGAGCTAGTCGCAGTTTTTCGCATTCCTTTGTGTGTTTCTCGTTTAGCGCACTAAGATTTTTCTCCAGGATGTGCTTGTTTTTCAATAAATCAGAAATAGTGCCGTCTAACTTATCCTTTTCCATTAAGAAACAAGACTCTTTGAATTGCTAAAGAAAGATTCAATGAAACACTTTGTAAATAACCAGAATCGCTCAAATATTACCAGATCGGATCGTAGCTTTTCGCATTCCCCTGAGAGATCGTTAAACTTCTGACCCATTTCGAGACTTTTATTATTGGCCGCTTCCATAGCTAATTTGAGATTAGTCGAGGCTTCTTGCTGAGATGTAAGTTCTACCTTGGTGGATGTCAATTGAGCCTTCAGTCCAGCATTAGCTTCATCCTTCTTTATAAGAATGGTAAGCTTTTCCTCCAGCTGTTGTTTATCGTTTTGCAGAGCTAATATAACTGAGTCCAAGTTTTTTTTTTCTCTCTGGAAGTTATCAGTTTTGGTTTCCTGAAAAATGTTTTCATAAAAGAATTAAGGTAAGATGAATATTTAAATAAAACTCACCAGATCCGAGTGCAGCTTTTCGCACTCCTTGGCCAATTCTCCGGTATTATTTCGACCTAGCTCCACTTCCCGCCTCAACTCCATGAATCTTTGATCCACTTCTGCTTCCTTGGTTCGTATTTGCTCTTCGAGGTTATTTTTGGATCGTTCCAGTTTGTCTATACTTTCTCTTAGGGAGGCACTTAGCGATTGCTCCTCTTTTAGCATGTTCTCTAGATTGTGGCAGTTTGTTAGCTTTAGTTTAAGATCCTCATTTCCAGCCTCAAGATTATCTTTTGTTTCTTGCAGGGATTTAAGTTTCAGCTGCAGCTCGTTCATTGAACCCTTGAGATCGGCCATCTCGCGTTTGAACTTTTCTGCCTGGGTTGACATCTTCTCCTCGATTTCTTTGAGCTGCGTTACCAGAACTTGTTGTTCCGTGCTTGCAGTAGCCTTTGCATCCAGGGCGGACTTCAGTTCCGAGCGAAGCTGCTCCATTTCTACATCTCGAGTAGCGATTCCGTCCTGCAAAGTAAGCAGTTCCAAATGCAGGCGATCCACCTTCTTTTGCGTATTGGACGACAATACATTTGCCTCGGAAAGACAGATTTTCAGCCGATCGTGCTGGGAAACCAGATCGTCATTGGCAAGAAGTTTGACTTTCGCACCATGCAGCGCTTCTTCGAGGTCGCTTATCTTGGCCGTGAAAGTCTCAAGCTTGTCCTCTAAATGAGACTTCTCCAGCATCTTACTGTTTAGAGTATCCGTTTCCGATTTAAGTTCCTGAAGCTTCGTCAGGGTGCTCGAGTGCTCTGCAGTGACCTTCTGAATCTCAGTCTCCAAGGCAATCTTGTCCTGCCTCAATTTATCCAATTCCAAAACCTGCTGCTCGCACTTTTCCTGGAGTTCAGTGATCTTCTCATTCGACGAGGCCAGTAGCCCATCAAGTCGTTCACTTTGTGCCTGTGCCTCCATGCTATTCTGATCTCGAGTGCGAAATTGCCTTTGTAGCTGTTCCTGGGACTTGTCGTACATCTTCTCGAGTTTAATTTTCTCGATTTTCAATTTATCGAAGGCAATTTCCCGATCATGTTTCGCTTCCTCCAGCTCAGCAATTGTATCTTTCATTGCGCTTCTCTGACACTCCATTTCCTCTAGAGTTTTTATCAGCTCGTCAAGCTTTAAACATGCCTTTTCTCGCTCTTCCTCCGCTTGACTTAGCTGCTCCTTCAATGTGACTCGCACATCGCTAATTTCCGCCTTGTAATCAGCTTCAATCTTGGCCTGTTTCACTTCGGCCGCAGCCAGTTTTTCCTTTAGGAGTTCTTTTATTTTTTCGAGCTCCGCCTGGTGCTTCGTAGTCAGTTTGTTCCTTTCCTCCTCGGCCTGAGTAATCTTTTCTTGAAGAGTAACTTTAATCCCTTCCAATTCCGCCTGACAACGAGTTGTAACACTGGAGAGCTCCTCCCCGGCCTTCGATAGCTGATCCTTCAGAGCGGCAACACTGCTCTCATAGTGATCCTTACTCTCCTCCAACTCCAGGCTGTACGCGCGGAACTTGGTGCGATTCTCGTTCTCGCTCGTCTCCATCTTCACCATATACTCCAGCTGTATTGCATTAATATCATCCGTCTTTTTCTTCTCTAGAATACATACATTTTCTTTGGCCCTCTTTAATGATTCACTGAGCTCCTGGATTTGTTTTTCATATTCGAAGGAAACGATTGTCTGCTCCTGTTTCGTCCTCTCCAGTTTCAGAGATTCCTCAGCTTTGATGCTGCGGTCAACGAGAGTCGCATTTCTCTCCTGCAGCTGGTCGATGATGCGTAGGTCATCGGACAGCTTCTGCGCCTGGCGATCTAGTAATTCCTGCTTTTGGTGGCCTTCTTCTTCCAACTCTGCAACCTTAAGCTCCATTGATAAGCAGCGCTCGCCCATTTCTTCTATATCCGTCTGCAGCTTGGCAATTTTACTGTCCCTCAGCTGCATCTGCTTTAATTGACTTTCCAGCTCGGACTGCAGATCACACACCTTGGTTCTCAGTTCAGCAAGGGATGCCTTAAGTGTTATGACTTCCTGCGATTCGAGATCTTTGTTATTGGGAGATGGAGGACAGGCTATTAGCGTTTCATCGTCAGGCGAAATTTCGAGCGAACTCTCGTTCATAGAGCTTTGCCTGGATACCGTAGCCTGCAGTTCCTTGTAAACAATCGACATTTCCGCATTCTGTTTCTCCAGAGATTCGATCTGGCGGTGGTAGTCGTCCACCTTGTTCACTATGATACTCTTATCCAAAAGGTCAGATTCCAGGCTGATCATCTCCTCGCGCATCTCATTAATAGTTGCTTCCGCGTCACCTATCAGCGTCATTTTATCTTTGACTTCCTGCTCTAATTGGGTAATTACATTGCGAAGCCCTTTCTCTTCTTCCATATCCACCTGTTCCTGACTTAGTCGCACAATCTGGAACCTGTGTCGCTTGAAAGAACCTTTGAGGCATACGGAGTCGGATGTATCTAGCTGGCGAGTGTCACTCTCTATATACTCTGCAGACTCAAGGCAAAGCTTAACGCCAGTCGCGTTTTGATCCTGTTCCAGATTGATGGCTTTAAAGAGACGACTGCAGCCAGAATGGTGGTGCAGTTCAATCTGCTGGATGGACTCAGACAGCTGGATAAACTGCTGCAGAAGATCACTATCAAGGTCGAGCTCCGGATCGCTGCACTCAGTGCCCACACCGGAACTCTTCATGGAGTCCACGTCGAAACTCGAGGGCCGCTGCTTGAGCTCTTCTCGGAGGGCGTCGTTCTCCTGGACACTTTCCATTAGTTGGTTGGAGAGACAGTCGTATTCGTTTTGGATCTCTTTAAACTTGGACTGCAAATCGGAGAGTTGCGCCTTGAGCTCTTGATTTTGTGCCTTGAACTCCTCGGCAAGAGATTCCGGATTCGGAGCTTCCAACAGCTTGCGCTGGGCTTCCTCCACTCTAGTCTTTAGAGTCACAATTTCTGCCTGCAGTTTCGCGTTGTCAGCCTGCAGTTGCTGGCACTGTTCATCGGACCTAAGACCCAGATTATCGTACTCCTCCTGCAGCTTTTGGTACTTCTGTTGAATGGCATTGTACTCAGCCTCCATCTTCTCGATGGCCAGTTGTTGACCCTGCCACTGGTGCTCCAGGGTGTCGTACCTCGCCTGCAGCAGTCCAAAGTCATCGTGGGCGGTGGATATCTGCCTGGAGAGACGCTCGCAGTCAGTGGTCTTTTGGGATACCTCGCAGCTGACCTCGCTGAAAGCTGACTGCACGCTTTCCAATTTGGTTCGCGTGGCAGCGATCTCAGAGCGCAGCTGATCACACTGGCAGGCAATCGTCTCCAGTCCCGTGGCGTCCGCAATGGGCAAGAGGTGCTCCAACTCCTGGCACTTGTTGCAGATCCTCTCGCAGCTGGACTCTATTTCAGGGCACATCGAGCGCAGGTGGTCCTCCTTGCTGTTGAGCAGCACATCCCGAGACAGCTCCTTGAGGGACTGCTGCAGGCTTTCGATGGTAGAATCCCTTTCGGAGAGGGCCGAGAGCAGATCGGTCTCCAGCTGCTTGGACTTGGTCTTGTGAGACTCGAAGCGAAGCCCTAGATTCACCGCCTCACGATTATCCATCTCCAGCCGCTCGATGGTCTCCTTTAGCGTCTTCACCTGCTCCTCGTACTTCTCGATCTTCTCATTCGCTACCTGGTTGGATGCAGTAAGAGCAGAGACCTCGGCCTGCAGGGCATCGCAGCTGGAATAGTTAAGAAGAAGAGTTAGTGGAGGGAAAAAACAAATCTAGGAAAACTCTTTTCCCCTCTTACAAAACTTTTCTCCTATTTCCTAGTGCGTCACTAAGAAAAACTGTTTACTCTGCCTAACTAAAGGGAGCTGTCCGAGGGAATCCGCCGTTTAAAAAAGACCACTAAAAATAGAAGCAGCTGGCGGCATTCAAGTTGAAGTTGCACCAGGCGAGGTGTATGGGATACACAGAAATGTGGATAGCCACAGTTGCAGTCGATAACATAGAAAACGAATATGAATTTATTTACTTATTATTTTAAAATTAATTTTGATGTTTCATTTGTTCAGAACATCAATAATTTATATTTTAAATTTTAAAGTAAAAATAGTTATCACTTTGATCATTTGCTTTAAGTAGATAAGCAATAAACGTTATTGTATTATTTTTACAATGTTTAAAGTAGATTATTTCTGTAAAACGTATTACTTAATAATGGTAAACGTAACTTTAGTAAATTCGAAATCAAAATTTTTTTAATTTAGTGCTAGTGGTTGTCACATTACGTTGTTACATTTTAATTTAGAATAATTGTTAATAAGTAACAAGTTTGAAGTGAAGCCGACATCGACAAAAGAATACAAAAAAGTAGATAGCTTCAATTTTACGCTACAAGCGAATACCTTATCGATGAAGAATTAAAAGGTTATTGATTTCAATTATTTATATTACGTTAATTGCAAACACGACAGAAGTATTTGCTATTGCGCAGTGCTATTAATCCGACCGCAGCTGTCTCTGTGGATTGGTAGATGCAAATCTTTCACCCCAGTCACTCACTCTCTCGGTTGCAGTTAGCCAATATATATGCGTTACATCACAGTCTATAACGTTGGTGGATCGGCAGTAGGGCCGACGTCATCGATCACCCAAGACGATCCGTGGTGTAGGGTGGAAGAAATTGAGAGGGGGCGAAACGGCCTGTTGGGCAGCGGCAAATACAATGAGCATTTTGGAATTCAGGCGATCAAATTATCAAGAAGTTGGCCAGTTAACTGGCTTGTTGATCGGCTGACTGCCTTATCGCAGTGCCAGTCTATTCGCGAAACTGGCTCACATTAGCTACCTCTTCCCGCTCCCGGATTCTCCGCAGAAATGTTTCTTTCTCGGCAGTTATTTGCGTTGGCGTTTGTTTTGTTTTCGATTTCTACGCGAGCGCACTTCGAGTGGAGCTTGCTTGCCCTCTTCGCAGCGACTGCCCCGAGAAGCCGAGAAATCGAGGAGAGCGAGCGAAGACTGCGCGAGAAGGCAGCCCCGTAGAAGAGCTCCACGCGGTCCCCACCACACTTTCAACTCAGGTGCCAGGTGAGCGGGCTCCAGAGGTGAATTGCCACTTTTAAACTAATCAGTCTTCAAACTTGTCCTATTAAGCATAGAAAACCTTGATAAAATAGTAGTAACAACCCAAGAAATAACCCATTTATTAATTAAGAGCCACCAGCAAATAAAAGCCTGGGCAAATGGGGGTTTGCTTAAATTGATAAAATAAATATTTAAATATTAAGGTTTGAGCAACTAATAAAATACCTAATAATGCATATAAACCTATAAAAATGGTAAAAGCTTTATATTCTCTGTGTTTTCTTACTTACTATTATTAAGTTCAAATTAGGGGAATAAGCCGATAATCGACAAGAAATTTTATGCTCGTATATTTTCGTATTTAAAAAAGTTTTGTATACGTTCTCGGTTAATATAGTTCTCGGAGTATAGAAAAAGTTGATAAATTTGGGTTATGCCTTCTCGATGTAATTCAAAATCTAGTTTAAAGCTGCGTTCCTAATGCAAAGTTTCAAATAAAAGAACACTGCCGAGCAAGGAAATGTAGGGAGGCAAATGAATTTCGGTTACATTTTAATGAAAGTGCTTTCTGTGAGGCGACTAAAATTCAAAAATTTAGAAATAAATCGGATGAACTAAAAATAAATAACATATATAATTTGGGATTCTGATTTTAAACTGACTCGGTAAAGCGATTTAGCTTTGACTGAATACAGACTAAATAACTCACTTTTGGGAGGACTTCTGTTCCTTTTTGGGCACCTCACAGGTTACTGAGGGAATACTTCTCACCGCTTCTTTTTCCAACAATTTCGGCAGTGCAGGTATTAAGTCCATACTAACAGGTGGTATTAATTTCTCCTTCACAGATTGATGGAGGCTGATGGTTTTAAGAGCAATCTCCCGTCGACTTGAATGGTTAGAGTTAGATAAAAACGTTGGCTTCGGTAGGTTAGACATCTTCGATGGCCGGGGCAGGCGAGATTCCTCTGGCAAAGTGGGCAATAAAGTTACAGCAGTCTCCGCCTCGGGGCCCGATATCCCACAGGTCCAAGTCCGCCGCCGCTTTTGCATGCGCTGTTCGTTTAGCGAGTTGCTTGAAATGATTTTAAGCATGTCGCGCTTAATACGTTGCTCCAGATCCTGCACCTTTAATTGACTCTCGTTTTTTAGCTTCTCCTCAGCAAGTTTGTCCTTATGCACCTTAATTTCACGGTCTAGCAGCTTCATCATCGTGTCGGAGACTATTTCGTTCACCTTCGGCTTAATGCGAATCTTCTTCGCGCGCAAGGCGAAGCTCAGGGTGGACCGAGACTCCTCCATGATCGAGGGCTTAATTGTACAGATAATCGAGGTGAAGGCATTGCCGCCAAGCGAAGCCTGCAGGATGCGCGTTAGTTTGGAGTCGCGGAAGCTAATAAACTTGTCCGCGTTCTCGGACAAGCTCTTTATCACGTTGCTGAGAAAAAGCAGGCTTTGGCACCCTCGGGCACCCGTCTGATTCTCCCGCTCCGATCCAGCAAGATCCACTAGGTTTAGCACGCTCTGGATTACGGTGTCGTCGTCACTGTGTTCAGACTTCCGGGACTCGATAATCTGCGGGACATATATTAACATGTTTGGATACAGCAATATCTGGCCGAAGGACTCACAATCCGAAAGATAGCGTGCGAGTGCCTGGTTCGCTCGTTCACGTTGCTCTCGCCCACGGTGAGTTCCTTGTTCTTCTTGCTGAGAAGGCTCAGAAGTTCGTCCTCGCTGGTCACGATGCACTCCTCACAGTTCACTTTCACAATACCGTGTCCGGACTCGTGGATCTTCAGGTCATGGTTGTTTTTTTTCAGTAGGTCGTAGATCTTCTCATTGTATATCTCGATGTAGCCCACGCGCAGCAGGAAGTCGCGCTCTGTCTCATTAGAGATATGCTGGAAAATCTCTTTGGCGGCCAGCACCATAATGCCCGGGTTCTGGCCGTCGCCCATCATCGTGTAGGTCTTTCCTGCAACATGCATTTTTTAGGTATATAAATATAGGAGTATATATAGCACAAATACCCACCCGACGACGTCTGGCCGTAGGCAAAAATAGTTCCGTTGAAGCCCTGCATGCAGGCGTGCACGATGTGCTTGGCCATCCGGTCGAACACCTCCTGGTTGTTGGCGCTCTCATCGAAGACGTAGTCTGCAAATGGGAACGGGGTGTTAATCTCCAGGATTGGGACACAGATCTCTGGATAGCCACTCACCGAAGACACAGGGCTCCGCGTCACTGTCAGCCAGGTGAATGGAGCAGCCCTCCTTCACCTGCCAGAGGGAGGTGAGCCCGGGCTCGCAGGGACGCACCTTGATGCACACCTGGATGGAGTTGGCGTTCTTCGCGGACATCTCTGCGGTTTCTTAATATCAACAATTTACGATACGGACATGAACAGATTCTAATGTTTTAGGAAAGCTTAATTATCGACATCTTTGTTGCTCTGACAAATTCGAACAAATACCGCTTCAAAAGCGAACCAGATCGAATTGAACCGCGGGGAACCAGTTCTGTGGTTATCGATCTTATTGGAACTAGAAATTGTGATTTAATGATATATGTTTAAATACAGTATTTTGTACCGCGATGTTATTTTATTTTTTTTCAGCGGTCCAATTAATCCTTTTGCCGTGCCTGATTTTCCGATTCAAAAACTTGTAAGGATTTGCAAAACATTTACACCTTTTTATTTTTAACAATACAAGTATGTCATAATTTATTTGCGGTGAAGCAATGTGTTTGAGACAGATGAATCGGCTATAAACTTCCGTTAATATGCTTCTTCTTAAAGGACATCAAATCACTAGTCCGATAACATGATGGTTTAATAATAAACAGTTGATTTTACCTTTTAACGTTATGCTATTAACTAAGATAGGGCCAAGTTACCTTACTAACACTCCAGCAAATTATATGTTAAGCCTATGTAGTAAAAACAAGATATTGCCTAAAACTCCATAACATTACTTCAGTGTGAACGTGTTCTCACAGTAGCGGCAAAAACTATTTGAGAACCATCTTGTTCATATTATCGATAATTCTATCGAACTAGTCAGCGACAACACGCGATTATCGAGGCGGTTTCATACCTGAAAACGCGAAGCGGTATTTGTTCGAATTTAACAGAGAATTTTGCGAGAAACAAAGATGTCGATCATTGTTTGTTCCCTGTGAGACATTAAAACATATGTTTGTCTTTATTGTGTGCTGTGTGTATCGTAAATTGTGGATATTTAAAATCAACGAAGATGTCCGCGAAGAACGCCAGCTCCATCCAGGTGTGCATCAAGGTGCGTCCCTGCGAGCCTGGGCTCACCTCCCTCTGGCAGGTGAAGGAGGGACGCTCCATCCACCTGGCGGACAGCCACGCGGATCCCTGTGTCTACGGTGAGGGGTTTTTCAGAGATGTGTTCCAATCCTGAGGATTAACACCCCGTTCCCATTTGCAGACTACGTCTTCGATGAGAGCGCCAACAACCAGGAGGTGTTCGACCGGATGGCCAAGCACATAGTGCACGCCTGCATGCAGGGCTTTAACGGAACTATTTTCGCTTACGGCCAGACGTCGTCGGGTGGGTATTTGTGCTATATATACTCCTTTATTTGTGTACCTAATATAATGCATATGTCGCAGGGAAGACCTACACAATGATGGGCGACGGCCAGAATCCGGGCGTTATGGTGCTGGCCGCCAAGGAGATCTTCCAGCAGATCTCCAGTGAGAAGGAGCGCGACTTCCTGCTGCGCGTCGGCTACATCGAGATATACAACGAAAAGATCTATGACCTGCTGAACAAGAAGAACCAGGACCTGAAGATCCACGAGTCCGGCAACGGGATCGTGAACGTGAACTGTGAAGAGTGCATCATAACCAGCGAAGACGACCTACTGCGCCTCCTCTGCATGGGCAACAAGGAGCGCACTGTGGGCGAGACCAACATGAACGAGCGCTCCAGCCGCTCGCACGCCATCTTCCGAATAGTGAGTGCTTCGGCCAGCTAATCCCGTATACAATAATCCTAATCGCTGTCCCGCAGATCATCGAGTCCCGAAAGTCGGACCGCAGTGACGACGACGCCGTAATCCAGAGCGTACTAAACCTCGTGGATCTTGCTGGATCAGAGCGAGCGGATCAAACAGGTGCTCGGGGAGCTCGCCTCAAGGAGGGCGGCCACATAAACAAAAGCTTGCTTTTCCTCAGTAACGTGATCAAGAGCCTATCCGAGAACGTGGACAACAAGTTTATCAGCTTCCGCGATTCCAAACTCACGCGCATTTTGCAGGCATCACTGGGTGGCAATGCCTTCACCTCGATTATCTGTACAATCAAGCCCTCGATCATGGAGGAGTCGCAGTCCACCCTGAGCTTCGCCACGCGTGCCAAGAAGATTCGCATCAAGCCTCAAGTAAACGAGATGGTCTCCGACGCCACGATGATGAAGCGGCTGGAGCGCGAGATAAAGGAGCTGAAAGACAAGCTTGCCGAGGAAGAGCGCAAAAACGAGAGCCAGTTGAAGGTGCAGGATCTGGAGCGGCGTATCAAGAGCGACATGCATAAGATAATTTCGAGCACGTCGCTGAGTGACAAGTGTCAGCAAAAGCGTCGCCGTACTTGGTGTCCAACTGCTTCGGGCCAGGAATTGAACCCTGCTGAGACCGGCATCTCGGACGATCGTGTCGTTCAATTTTCGAAGGTGTCCCATCTACCGAAACCAGTGTTTTTTCCTAATTCCAATGTCGGAAGGCGATGGGACAATATTCCCAAGACTATAAACATTCTTAGTTCCCTCGATATCGGCACAGACGACCACGTGGTCAACGAGGAATTCTTTCCGGCAGAGTGCGTTGACTTTGGCTCCCCTCGCATGGATGTCCAGATAGCCAAGCTGTCTAGCAGGCAGCTGCCAGACCTAGCCTTGACGCCCATCACCTGTCAGATGGGTCCCGCAACGTAAGTACTCTTTAACATAATTTCGCCAAGCTGAGCATCCTTCATAACACTCATTACCTGACACTCGCATCCATCTACGCACAAATAACCCGATTCCCGCACTCATCTGCTTGAGCAGCAAAGAGAAGATCAAGAGGGAAATACAGGACCTGCAAATGTTCACCAGTTTAGAGAAGCAGTTCGAGGCGGAGTGCGAGGAGGTGAAAGTTTTGAAAGAAAAGTTGGAAGAGAACACAGCTCAGCGGGATCAGTTAGAGCTAGATTATTTCACCGAAAAGGAGCGGTGAGTGAAAGGGGTTTTTGACAAGCAAACAATTTATCATATTTGAAACTTCGAAAGTCTTCATATCGTCTATTATTTAACATATTGTCGTCTGATTTTAATCAAATTCAATGTTTTCGTTAGGATCAATAGCCGTATAAGTGAAACGTGAAGATCTCGGGAGCTCAAAAGTTGAAATTTGTATTTGAAATTTTGTATTTTTGGCATTGTAAAGAAAAAATTGGTGCGCGGTATACGTTTATTGAATTAATATCTATCAACACAGCTAAAATTATCCAAATCAACTATTAAATAAATATGTCATACCGCTAGATGGCGTCATATATGATTTTTTTGGTGCGCCAATAGAATTGCAAGTGGCGCCATCTATCAGGGCAATATTGGTTTTGAAATTGGTTAAGATAGTAACTATTATTTGATAGTCAGGACACTCCTTTTTGTTATATACATAATTTAACAAACTATTTTTAAATTGTGTTATTGTAGTTGCGAGGATCTGCAGGCGGAGGTCACCAGCCTAACATCTGCTAACCAGGAAGCGAATTTAAAGATCGGCGAACTAGAGGAGCAGCTGGGTGCTCTAAAGCAAACTGTGACAAAATTGGAAGTGGAAAACCGTGATGCAGTGAGTCTAGAGTTCGAGTTCGAGGCACACAAGAAAACTTCGAAACTGCGCGTGGATGACTTGCTTTCAGTACTGTCAGAAAAAGAGTTGGCGATAGAGAATTTGCGAAAGTCCATCGAGGAAATTACTCGGGATTCGCTACGCAACCGCAAGGAAGATAGAATGCGTTCCTTTTGCCCAGCTCCGGAAGCCAGCGTCGATAGATTTTGCAATAAGTGTGACCAACTGGAGCAGCTGGCCGCAGATTTGCAGTCCAATAACGTTGCCTGCGAGTGTGATCAGCTGCGATCCGAGATCGTCGCTACTCGGACCAAGTTGGAAAGCGTGGAGTTAGCCCTTAGCCAGACTAGCTGCGAGTTATCAGAAAAGACCACTGACTGCGAGCGCCTCTACAAGCAGATATCCGCGGCCCATGACGACTTTGGACTGCTGCAGGAACGGTACAACACCCTGGAGCAGCAGTGGCATGGTCAACAGCTGGCTATCGAGACCCTGCAGACGGACCACGACTCTATTCAGGCAAAGTACCATGAGCTTCAGCAGGAATGCGAGCTACTGGGACGCACGACAAACGCCTCTGACGAGCAGAGCCAAAAACTGCAGGCTGATAATTTCAGAATGCAGGAAGAAATTGACACCCTCAAGAAGCAAGTGGAGGAGGTACAGAGCATGCTTAAAGATGCTCAGGTCTCCGAATCTATTGCAGATGAGTTCAAGGCCAAAAATCAAGCGCTTAAAGCGCAACTCACTGATTTGGAGTCCAACTTCAATGAGATCCAACGCGAATACGACTGCCTATCCAACCAACTGATGGAAAGTGTCCAGGAGAACGACGCGCTCCGAGAAGAACTCAAGCAGCGGCCCTCTAGCTTCGACCTGGAGTCCATGAAGAGTTCCGGTGTGGGCACTGAGTGCAGCGATCCGGAGCACGAGCTCGACCTAGACAGTGATCTTCTGCAGCAGTTTGTCCAGCTGTCTGAGTCCATCCAACAGATCGAACTCCGTCACCATTCCGGCTGCAGTCGTCTCTTTAGATCCAAAAAACTGGAACAGCAGGATCAGAGCGCGCCTGGTTTAAAGCTTTGCCTGGAGTCTGCAGAGTATATAGAGAGTGACACTCGCCAGCTAGATACATCCGACTCCATCTGCCTCAAAGGTTCTTTCAAGCGACACAGGTTCCAGATCATGCGACTCAGTCAGGAACAGGTGATAGAGGAGGAGGAAAGGCGACTCCTTGATATCATTTCGCAACTGGAACAGGAAGTGGAAGAAAAAACTGCCCTTATGGAGGCCACAGAGGCAACCATTAACGAGATGCGCGAGCAGATGACCAACTTAGAATCTGCCCTTCTGGAGAAGAGTGTCATAGTGAACAAGGTGGAAGACTACCAGCGCCAGATCGAATCTTTGGAGAAACAAAATGCGGAGATGACGATGGTGTACGAGGAGCTGCAGGATAAAGTAATCAGGGAGAGTTCGATGAGCGAGAGTTTGCTTAGAATTCCTCCTGAAGAGGATACCCTACCAGGCTTCGCTGCGTCTCCCTTTAAGAAAGATCAGGAATCGCAGGAAGTAGTCACTCTTAAGGCCTCCCTTGCAGAGCTCAGAACCAGGGTATGTGATCTGCAGGCCGAGATAGGAAATCAGCAGTGTCAGATGCAGCTGAAAGATGAAAACATCGCTAAGCTACAGACTGATTTTGAGGAAATGAGCGAGCGGTGCTTATCGATGGAGGTGAGGCTCGTGGAGTTGGAGGGGGATACCAAGCAAAAGCAGGAGCTACTGGATCGCCAGGCGCAAAAGCTGTCCGATGACCTACGCATCATCGACCAGCTGCAGGAGAAAAATGCTCAACTTGTTGAACGAAGTATTAAAGCTGAGAGCTCTAAAAATCTGGTGGAGACAAAGCAGGACCAAGTTATCGATGCTGCAGAATATAATAACCAAATCGAGGAACTTCGAGAATCTTTGAAGACAGCAACAGAAGAACTACAGGACATAAAGAGGAGAAAAGAGGATGAAATGAATACCATGCAGATGGAACTCTTGCTAAAGCTTGAAACGAGCGAGAATGAGAATCGCGCCAAGTTCCACGCGTACACCGTGGAGATGGAGGAGCGCAGGGATCGATACGAGAGCAGTGTGGCCGCTCTGAAGGATCAGCTATCGCAGGCCGAAGAGGAACTTTCCAGTGTTACAGCTCGCTGTGAAGCGGAGTTGGAAGGGATTAAAGGCACTTTTCAAGAAAAAATTACTCAGGCCGATGAGGAAAGGAACAGTTTGAATGTACAGCACCAAGAAGAGCTGAATAAAATAAGGGAATACCTAAACGAGAAGTTGGTAGAACAATTCAAGATTGAAGCCACCCTTAAGGAGCAGTTAAGCCAAGCGGAGGAAGAGCGTGAAAAGGCAACATCAAAGCTTGACTATGTGAGAAACGCTCTGGAGGAGGCGATAACTCACCGAAACGCAATGAGAGATACAATTGCCGAACTGGAGAAAACGAAATCTGAACATGACACGGCCTTGGATAAACTGAAAACGGAGAACATGCAACTTCAAAATCTGTACGAGAAGAACCAGGAGCTATTGCAAATACAGTTGAGCACGCGAGATCAGAATAGCTTAGAGACACAGGCACACAGTGAGCAACTCGATATACTACTGGCCTCGTCCAAAGAAAAGATAACTGAGCTCCTAGAAAAGTGCGAGCAGCAGGTTTTAGATTTGGAAAACTTAAGACAGGACAAGATCAACCTGCAGCTTGAGATTCAGGATGCTAATGGAAATTATTCAAGCACCCTAAAGAAGCTTAGGGATCTTGAATTGGAAACGGATGCTCTTAGAGAGCAGAATGTGATGGAGAAGTGTAATTTAGAGGACAAGATTGAGACTTTTACTGCAAAGATAAGTGATCTCGAAAAAGCACTGCAAGATGCTCAACTCAAGGCCCTTGGTCATGACGATCTGGTTTCCCAGCACGAACGGCTAAGAACCTGTCTCTCCGAGGCAAACGAAGTGTCTTGCAATCTGGAGAAGAAGGTGGAGAGCCTAAATTCGGTACTGCTTAGTTCCCAGGAAGAAATCTCTAATAGAGATGCAGAAATTGAACAGCTTCGCACAGAATTGAAGCACGTCGTTGTTGCAAATAATACTACGAGTGCGGAACAAAAAGTTCTGTTAACACAGCTCAAAGAAGTCGAGGCGAAGATGTCAATCCAGGCAGGCAACTTCCAACGCGAAGTGGCCGATCTCAAGGGTTCAATGAACGAGCTGCAGCTGAAGCTAAAATCCCTACAAGAGATAAAAAATAATCTTGACACTGAAAATGAGGAGCTTAAACTAAAGCTAAGAAATGCACAGAATCTGCAGAACATATTGGAAGAGGAACAAAAACTATGCACCTCACTGAGAGAAAATATTGTCAAACTGGAACAGTCAAAATCTCACCTCGAAGACCAAATACGAGCCATGGAAGCGGAAGTCGATCAAAAATGCAAACAACTAAGTCAAACTTTGGACCTAGGTAGAAACAAAATCGCAGAACTGACCACCGAGTGCAAAAATCTTCATTCCGATCTGGTGAGCTTAATTTTCATATTAACCTTTACTTTTGATTCTATAGAAATGTTTTTAAGGAAATCAAAACTAATAATTTCCGGAGAGAAAAGGAAACCTTGGACTCAATTATATCCGGTCTGCAAAAAGACAAACAACAGCTGGAGGAGAAGCTAATTCTTCTTAAAGATAGGGATCAAGTCAATGTTCAACTTAATGCTCAGTTGACATCCAATAAGGCAGCTCTTACAACTCTGCAAGAAGCCTCTACTAAGCACGCATTAGCCATGGAGGCGGCCAATAATAAAAGCCTCGAAATGGGCCACAAGATTGCTGAACTTTCAAGGGAATGCGAAAAGCTACGATTCGATCTGGTAAGATCCTAATACGAACCATTTTTATATTTAATTTATTTTTGTGTATTTTTTTAGCAATCAAAAGAAGCGTGTTTCCAAATGGAAAAGAAGCAATTGGACGGCACCATTTCTAATTTATTGGAAGAAAAGCGCGGCCTGGAGGAAAAGTGTTGCGCGTTTGACGACATTGTCAGTAAGCTTGAGGGACTCACAAAAGAGTGCGAGAAGCTAAGATTAACTCTGGTAATACATAACACATATTGTGAAATTATTATAAATTTAATAAATCTATATTTTCTTTAGAAAAGCAAGGATGTTACTTTCAAAATGGAGAAGGAACGCATGGATGCTACCATTTCCAGTCTGTTGGTTGACAAGCGTAACCTAGAGGAAAAGTTGTCCACGGTCAACGACATTGTGATTAAGCTTGAGGCTGAACTGACTACTCTTCAAGCTCTTAAAGTGAACGGAAGCAATGCGTCCTTCGAGTCAAATGCTTCGAACGGATCGTCAGCTGCTCCGCCTGCGAGAAAGAGTCTGGACCGAAACCCCGGTGTCGGTGGCCCAAGGGTGAATATTAGCTAAATCTTTAAGTGTTGTGGTTAGTCTCTTAAATGTGTACCCTTCTATGCAGAAATCATTAACATCGGAGACTGAAATACGGAAGAATCGACGAATCAGCGTTCACGATGAGCGGAGACAATCTTACTGGAACGACGTTCGGGAGTATGGCACCATGACGGATCCCGTGGGTAGGTGCAGTTGCTATGACGGGACTTACAAGATTTTCCAATCGATAATTCACATTTCAGACAATAACTGCAACTGTGCGGAGCTTAACTCCAGGCTTCAAGATTGCCAGCGGGACCTTTTCATTCGCGAGAGCCAAGTGACTGCGTTGAACATGGAGCTGAAGCACCATCCGCTAAAGGACGAGAATGTGCAACTGAAGAAGAGAGTTTTAGAGGAGCAGGAGAAGGCACGCTCCGAGCAGAAACGACTTAAAACAAAGCTCCACGACCTAAACGCAAGGATCAATGATCTCACTAATGCTGCTGCATCTTCCGCAATTTCGGTTGCCGACCAAGAAAAGCAGGCTGCGAAGAGCTCAAAGCCTGACATGGTATCAATAGAAACTCAGACAGAATCTGAACTAGAGGCAATCCTGGAGAAAACAAACATTAAGTATCAGGATGCTGTTCGGTTGTTGCGTTTCCGCTACAATCTGATAAAAGAGCTGGAAGAGAAGGTTAAGCAAAACGAAAACCACGACTCTTCAAATATCACCTCTTTAACAGCTGGTCAAAACAATGCACTCAAGGTACTTATTTTCTTATTTTCTTAATTGTTAAATTACTTCTTTTATCAAATATGATGTTTACAGGCGCAATGTGAAACACTGAAGAGGGAACTAGCTGTTATCAAAAATAAGTACGAATCCGCGAAACGCATTTTGGGGATGCGAAAAGATGAGCTGGATGTAATGCGAGAAAAGCTAGCTAAATATGAAGCAGGTTTATCAACTAAATAAGGGTATATTTTATTATAATTTAGTGTACAGGAGTTTAAGGGTTTGGTTTTAAGTTCGCTTTTTATGTCGTCAATACTCCATTTTAAAGTCGCATTTTTATTTTGCAGTTAGTCTTCAAATACGAAGATCTAGTCTTATGTAAAAAACATGTATTGTGTGCATATTTCTCAATAAGTAGATATATTGAACATTCGCTTAATTTACTTTTTTTTTAAACAAAAACAGAAGCTAGTTTGCCTTTTATGTGTTGTACTTACTTATTAGTAAATTTAATATAGATTTACATCAAAACACAAAATTAATTCCACTTGATTCAATCCACATATTTAAAGAAAAACACAAATTGTCTTCATAACGCGGCTTTATTGTAATGTCAATAAATATTTATATAACTTTCTAAGCACATGGATGTCTACTTATATTGCTTATGTAACGACTTTTAACTAATATATTTTAAACTAACGACTTAACCGAATTGCATTAGCCTTAAATGCATTTCAAGCCTAGAAAAATGCAATCTATTGCACTCCCCCTGCGCCAAAATCTGGGCAAGAGTGAGAGGAGGGAAAAGTATCTAAAACCGAAGGTAAAACTAAACGGGAAAATAAAAATCTAAAGATACTCGCATGTACTTAGTTTCTTCTTTATTCACATCATCTGCGTCATCCAATCTCGTAATGCTATGTTAGGTGACTTGTGAGTAATTAAATTAAATCCCATATTATAGGTAGTTAAAACACTCGAAACAAGCCAAGTGAAATAAGTTGCGCATTGGAGAGTGCGGTTAAGAACTTACAAATAAATATCCAAGTAAATTACATTTAAATTAATTGAGGTAGAAAATTACTAAAGTAACACATATGTTGGTCATAAGGCAAGTGGTAGCGACTCTTGTAGAGTCTGTGCTCATCTCCGATTGAAGCTAACCATAAACCTAGGATAACTGAGGCATATTCAAACTAAATACATACAGGAAACGCGTAGTTACATCTATCTATGTCTTGCTTGCAGTGCTGCCACATAAACTAACTAACCTAATTTATATTTAAGTATATGATTCGCACTGGGTATCATAAGGGGTCCACCTTCGAGTGCTAACGACCGAATGCTGAGTATGCTGAGGTATTCAATTCTCTGACAAATAAGTACAGGCATTCATATGTTTGTATTTATCTTTAGGTGTATATACGTATACCGAGTGTGCACTGTATACCGTATGTAAGTTGTATAAATAATCAATTTCTTGTATGCTGATCCCCTTGGGGCTCTAAAACTACGGGCAGATTTCTGCTGTTGAAAATTGGCAAGATTCCTGGAGATGGAGTACAGGACCAGTCACAACTCATGGAAGTTTGAAGTTCGTTTCAGGGGTTCAACTCTTTCGCTGGCTGAGGTAGTTCGGTTTAGTTGTTCGGATTCGTCCGCGAGTGTTCCTGAGATATGGTAAGCACTGTGAATCAATGGACTGGCTAGACTTGGAACTGGAAGGCTGTGGCATGCATGGCACATCTGAATTATCTGCTGGCGTCTGGTACAAACTAACATACGTAAGTGTTAAATGCGACGGATCGTTTGGGGGCTGTTTCTGGTCTAACGTGAATATTTCTTTTATGTATTTACAGGCTCTTCTTTCAATGTGAAATCTATCTCTAGACTACCATTACTTTATGTTTTTCATGCGGGATGGGTTGTCCTTCTCTTGATCGACTTGTATACACAGCAGGTACTTGTGTATATAAATATATATGTGTATAGGGATATATCTATGTGTATATATCCGTATAGGTAGGTAGTTTAAAAAGCACAACATAGAATTCTACTAGGCCAGCTCTGGCAGCGGCACAAATATGATTTTAGTCCTAGGTTTCACTATCGTATTGTATCGTATCGTACACATAAACTGGTATACATGAGGATAAGGCTACTCGTTACATATGTTCCATGGGTAATCGGTATACAACTGTTCATGTTCATGTTCATATTCGTGGTTCCCTTGCTGGAATCTCTGTCTGCTTCTATGTGTTGTGCACTCCCTCGTCCTCCGAGTAGTTCTCCTCGGCATCGGAGTTGGCCACCTCGTGGTTGCTGCCCGACTGGTTGATGTCCAGGCCCAGATCCATGGGCTCCGATCCGTCGCGCCGCATGTCGCCCTCGTGGTCCGCCAACTCCTCGTGTCCCATCATCCTGCCACCCGAGTTGAGGGCCAGCGGTCGGTGGGCATTCGGCGAGAGGCTTCCCGCTCCCTGATCGTGCCGCAGTATGGGCTCAATAGTCAGGCCGGGTCCGCTCGGTCCGAAGGCGGGATTCCCGGCGGTCAGCTTGCTCAGATCGAACTGGCCGGGCATCAGACCCGGCGGCAGGCTGTCCAGACTGTGTCCCATCGCATTGAGCTGGGCCATCTTGGCGCGCAGTGCGGCGGCAGCTGCCTGCTCCTGGGACATGCCCATGCCTGGAAACGGAAGTAAGTTATTAACTGACTCCCCAATTTGAGCATACATTCTCATGGATACTCACCGAATGTGTTCTCCGTGATGAACTGCAGATAGGTGTCCAGCAGGGACTGGCCGCCAGCATTGCTGTTGGGCATCTGGACGCCCAGATCCTTAGGCTGGCCCAGAGCAGCGGCAGTGGCCGCCGCGGCAGCCGCCTCGTTTCGCATCCTGGCGTGGCCGAAGTTGCTCAGCAGGCTCTCGTGGTAGCGACTCAGGTCGCTGCTGCTGCCGCCCATGCCATACAGGCCGTTGCCCGTGGTCAGGTCCTCGGGATCCTCGTCGGAGTCGTCGGCGTCGTCCAGTGGTCCGCCGCTGGCGTTGCTCAGATCCAACTTGGCCTGGCCACTGCCTCCGCCGCCGCCGCCGCCGCTGCTGCCGCTTCCGCCGGTGGGCGAGGCGCGGGCCCTCAGCTCCGCCGGGGAGATCTTGACGCCCGCCTTGGCCAGCAGGCGCGAGGCCAGGTCCGGATCGAAGGCGCTGGGCATGGGCAGGACGGGCAGGTCCTTTGTGGAGATGCCGCGGTGCTGGCGCGACATGTGCGAGTGCAAGGAGTTGCGGGACTTGGCCACCGTGCCGCAGAGCACGCACCGGTAGCCGGGGCACACGGTGTGCTTGTCCTCCAGATGGGTGCGCAGTGTGTGGGCGGAGCGGTAGATCTTGCCGCACTTGGGGCAGGGACGAGGGTCGGTGGCGCGAACACGCATTTCCAGGGAGCGTCGGGAAACTGCAAGACACAATTAATTGGACATTAGTTTTGGGTACATCGAAGTTCCGCGTGGAGAGACCAATGAAAAGCCAGCTCGTCTTCGTTTGCTCTTTATTGTTCACCAAAATAGATTTGCCGCCTCCAAACACATTCCTCCAGGCAGCACAGATACAAGATACTCGTACTAGATACATTTGTTTTGCCCCTCAGACAATTTTGCAAACTAAAATGGCATACAAACTGTTGTACAATCGCTGTACTTATGGCTGCTTGTTTTCTCTCTAGGCTTTATAAACTACAATTGTAAAATTGTCCGCTTCGAAATAGAATTTATATTTAGTCAATATCGACACAATCTCGATAGACCTTCTTTAGCCAGTTTTGCTGGAGCTTCGGTTTTAGTTTTAGTTTTAGTGTTTTTTTGATTAACATTATAGGAACCTTTTTACGTATGTCTGCTCTTGGAGTGTTATGCCGCCAATCGAGTCGAATTACAGTTTAGTCAACCTAATTTTGTTTGGTAATCAACAAAATATCTCCTTGAATTTTGAACTTTCTCTAATACAAATCGATTTCAGTTTTTGGTATTTCGTTTCCATTCGTATCTCTCTTTTTAATGCTCAACTTTAGTTTACTTGTGTTTTAGTTTTTCATTTAATTTTCTTTCGTTTTGTTTTGGCTAAAAATATATTACGCAGGCACATTCTATTTTGTTTCAGTATCAATATTCATAATAACTACTTTATATATTTCTATATATCATGTTTCTTTGTTTGCTTGTTTTTAGCTCTTTATCTACATAGTTATCTCACCCTCTATGGCTTAATCCTACGTATTTTGCTTATGTAACTCTATGAATTAATGTTATTATTCTTCTTGTGTGTAGTTTTTCGGTTTCTGTTGCTTTTCACTTTAATACTGCACATGCTTTACTGGAGCGTTTCTGGAGCTACAGATTTCTCGTATCTCTCTCTCAGCTAATGTAAAGGAATTCAAAGTTTGAGATTTGCTTTTGCCCTAGGTAAACATATCAGAGCTGTAGGTGTCTGCATATGTAATATACTTTATCGCATATAGGAACGTAATAATTGTTGTAAGTAATCCTAACCCAAAGCGTTCATCTACCGCCGCCAGCTAAGAAGCTTCTCCTTAGTAAAGGTTTTTAATACCCTTCCTTGCATTCCTTTATTCTTTCATATAAACAGAAATTGTATCGAAAAATTAAATACTAGAGTTGAGAAATAATAAGACTTTCAATAAACTTCAATATTTAGGAATCGTTAAGAAAGAATCATATCATATATATGAGTTCTCAAAGAGTATATGCATAAGGTTGGTTAGCTTCAAAGAAATATTTATAGGGTAATGAAAAATCTAGAATAAATGGAAGTGAATCCTTGCTGAATCCGGATCCCCTCTGACTGAAACCTGTTATCGACTGAAAATAATACTTTCAGATACGGAATGACGACATGGAAAAGCTTCAGTAACTGACTGGCGGGCAGGAAGCGTTGCAGTAGTTGGCTTACAGGCAAGGATCTCTCGTGCGCTTATAGTTACAGTTAGTTATAGTGGACTCCGACTGGGACTTGGACTACTTTTGGCTATCTACGATAGATGCGAGTGTCTCGAGACTGGGTGATTCCTCTCGGATTGCGAGTTAGATTCGATTTATTGTCGCCATTGACTGACTGAGAAGCAGCAACCTAGAAAGCTTTTAGCGTGACTACGCGGAGTAACATTAGCTCACGGCCTCGCAGTTTCATTTGAAGTCCGGCCCGCCGGCAAAGGGGCCGCCCGACGACCGCATGGCCTTCATCTTGGCCCACTGCAGGGTGTGCTTGATCCGCATGTGGTTCCGCACGGAGTTGGGATGCGCGAAGCGGCGGCCACACTCGATCACCGGACAGACGGGACTGTCGCGTGGATAGTGGCGGTCCAGGTGCTGGCGGAAGACGCGCTGCTCCAGCGGCGTTTCGCACAGCGGACAGGGCAGCATGTAGTTGCTGCTTCCGGCTCCAGTTGCCGCTCCACTTCCGCTGCCCACCGCCACGGGGGCGGCACTTCCTGGCAGAGGTCCTGCTCCGGCACCTGCCACCTGACCCGGTCCACTGCCATTATTACCCGGACTGGCCGATGCCGCCGTGGCATTCGCAGCCGCCGCAGCAATGGTGTTCTGGAAGAGTTCCGGAAAATCCCGCGACC